GAAAAAAAAAATCCCAACGGAAAAAACTCTCTTGCTTTAACATCCACACATTTAGGGCTTAAAGAACCAGCCATATTAGCTCTGGGTTCACAAATACTGGCTGGCCTTGGAAGCCAAGCCAAATGGTTGTGATTGCCGGGACCCCGTTTCCCTTTGTCGCAAACCTCATACAAGGGAAGAGATACCCCACTGCTTCCCTTTCCAGCTCCAAGCTTGTTGGTTTGGTCCTACACTTCTAGCATGCTCCAGACACCTTGACTCCAAAGACACTACCCTTGTCCACCCCACCTTTTCTTACTCAAGCTGAAAAGACTGGCAGAGCCTTGCTGATTTGGCTTGGTATAGCTGAGGCATTTCAGTCACCTCAGAGGCTGAACAATCACCACCCTTCACTCTACTAACCTTTGTGTAGGAGAAGGGGAGAACTACATAGAAACTTTGCAAACTTCACCCACCTCTGTAGCAGCAAGGCTGCTGGGAGTTCTCATATTTACCAGGCCAACAAAAATGTGGAAACCTATTCTTATTGTTAAATAAGCCTCTTTGAAGTGATTTTAGAATCATTTTTCACATGCTTAGCTTGTTTAGTTGAGTGAGCAATTACCTTCCATGTTCTTCTGGTGCATTGGACATTGTGAAGGCACAGCCGGAGGCTGTTCTGATACATTTGCTTGGAGTGCAATTGATGGAGAAGATGCAGATAAACCCATGACAACCTCGTCCTTAAAACCAGATTTGACAGGGCATCTGAAATGCAAAGTCAAGCATATTAATAGTGTATTATTTACTAGAAAAATGAAGAAATAAAACCAGAAAGGTGACTTGCTAAGAATAATAATTTCAGAGATTGGAAGTGAGTAGTTATGGTCAGGTATGAAACATGGCCATGAGGGTTATTAAGTACTAGAGGGAAGACTCGGGACAGTGGCCCCAAGTGAGAAAAGGCTCAGAATAGGACAGACAGAGACCCTGAGTGACTTCCAGGCAGCAGCTCCGAACAAGGGAAGGTGCACTGGGCAGCAGCCTTGGCAGCACACATGAGTCTCTCTCTCTCCTCCTCACCACATGCCCCTTATTAAAGTGGGGTGCTCCCCATTTTATGTGATTTCAGTTATGCACATGGGGAGCTGGAACATAACCCCTGTGTAAGTCGGGGGATGCTTGTAAATATAAACCAGGAACTATCAACTGCACTTCCACCTACTTTCCACATGCATCTTTGAAATTTACAGGGAGGGAAATGTCTGGGGTACTTCAAGTCTTACTAATATTCCTACTTGGAGGCGGGCTTCGCCAAAGGATTCAATGGCAAGACACTCTCAGAGCATTTCATGCAGTGACTGCATAGACTGGATTTTCCACATCAGAAAGGAATTTGGTTACATGCACACCTATCCATGTCCAAGCGCTTTCAGGTAGTCACAGCCACCATTCACCTGGATGGTGAGAATTTTCTGTGCGTCAAACGTACAGAAACAGAGGAAGCTACCTGAAGTACATGAACAACTATAGTTATTGAAGCAGTGGAGACTGGTCAATTAAGGCAAAAGGGGCACTGTTCCACCAGCTTCAGCCTGCCCCCACCTGCCTGCCTTCTTACAGCCAGTCTTATGGGTGACAGTGACTGTCAGCTTCCTGCGCCTTAGTCTGTGTTGCCCTTGAACTTATCAAGGAGGATGGGAACAAAACTAGAACTGGTTGGTTCCACTTGGCATTGGCTCTAGCTCCACTTACCATTGTTCTCCCTGCCTTTCAAGCTTCCATCTCCTGTGGGCGCTAGCCACCCCACAGACTTGAAGGCCTCAAAAAGGAGGGGGGAAACAGGACAACTCTTAGGGGATTTCTTTTTCTCATTCTAAACAGAGAACGGGAGCTGAAAAAATAACAAGGTTCTTTATCCAGTCCAGCACATGGCAGTTTAAAAGGTCAAAACCAGAATAAAACTACTGGATACCTGGGATACCTGAGTCAGTAGAGCATGAGACTCTGAATCTCAGGGCCATGGGTTCGAGCCCCACGTTGGGCAAAAGATCCCTGAACTGCAGGGGGTTGGACTAGAAGATGGCCCTCGTGGTCCCTTCCAACTCTACAATTGTGTGATTCTGTGACTTTTTTCTATCCTGCTGCTTCCAAGATGAGGCAGCCTGACAGCATTTGGAGATGCCATGTGAAGGCAGGCAAAGGATCAATGATTTAGCTAATTTTAGTACAGTGGTACCTCAGGTTAAGTACTTAATTCGTACTGTTCTTAACCTGAAACTGTTCTTAACCTGAAGCACCACTTTAGCTAATGGGGCCTCCTGCTGCCGCCCCGCTGCTGGAGCATGATTTCTGTTCTCATCCTGAAGCAAAGTTCTTAACCCAAGGTACTATTTCTGGGTTAGCGGAGTCTGTAACCTGAAGCGTATGTAACCCAAGGTACCACTGTATTTTAGTAGGAAAGGAGATGGGAGGGGGGAAAGCGCAGAATGAGAACCTGGATTTCCGGCTTTCAGGAGGATCTGCCCAGGGTCACCTTGCAGGGGTCCTTGACGGTTATAAGACCAATGCAATGCATTAGGGGGAGCTGCATGCGCAGGGACGTGGGGCAGCACACACATCACCAGCCGCATACGAGCCTTCACACAACAACACGGGCAGATCAGGGCGGCGTGAGCAGGCCGAGGCCATGAGCTGGACTTGTCGAGGGCGGGGGGGGGTGTCTCCTTGGTCACCAAAACCAGCTCATGCGTTCAGTGGGGAAAGCCTGAAGGGCGCTTCTCCCTCAGAGGGAAGGCCTCGCCGCCCACAACACGCAGCGGAGCCCGGATGCCTGTCACGCAAGGCGCGTGACACGCCACTACACACCCACCCGAATTTCACCAGTGGCGGGTGGAGGACAACTGCCGCTTACCTGTTTCCTCGACCTCCTCGGGGGCCCCAGTCACGAGATGCGGCCCACTTCTCGCGAGAGCCGACGCTGCGAGATCAGGGCGGAGCTCAAAGGGCCAACGGGACTGAACTAAGAAGCGGGTGGGGAGAATGGTTTGTGCGCGCGTGCGTGAGTGTGGGGTGGGGAAGGGGGCGGGGCCTGGAACGCAGCAATCCGCGAATTCAAAAAGGCGAGGGCGCGAGGGGGGGGGGGATGCGAGAGACGTTAGGTTCCTCGTTTCCACGGTAACCGCAGAGGTCGCTTCTCTCCCGTCGCAGGCTCCGGGCGTGAGGAGAACAGTTTCTCTTCCCGCCTCAGGCTTCATTTTGAAAGGGGGGAAAGTGTAAATAATAGCACAGAGCATGCTAAGAGTGCCTTTCCTTCTCCATGGAGTAACTATAAACCTCACAGCTTAGCCAATGGCGCTTAGCTTCCCATGTCAAAGAGGGTTCAAGGCGAGTAAGCTCGATTATTGTCCCTTTTCACGTGAGGAAATTAAGGCTTGGTGGTGACCAATGGGGCAAAAGGTGCTTTATCGTGTCAGTCATTTAATCCATCGGGTCCTCTTCATTTACTAGTAGAAGCTGACTGTGGATAGATAACCACGCCGTCCCCTATTTATACTGGATCACAAGCACACACATCTTGGATTTATTGGATCCCCAAATGCGACCCCCCGCCCTTTCTTCAAATTTCCCAAGACGTGGCTGAAATCTAAACAGCAGCGCATCCCTGGTGGAACAAATTGCGCCTTAGCTCTGCTGAATCCTAAGAAATGCAAAACCGAAAAGAGTGGCTATTTTATTTGTTCCAGTGTGACACCTGTTGGTGCTGAAGCGGCCAGGATTTGAAAACTTTCGACCACAGCGTTCCGGGCCCGTGATGGCTAAGGACAGAACAGAGAGTAGGTGAGGTCACCCTTCTCCCTCCAAAACCTCCTTCCTTCCTTTTGCTCTCTTTCTGTTTCCACTCCCTTTCTCCCTCCCTGCCCAGCGGAAGGCAGGAAGAACAGATCCCCCTTGCAACAACAGCTCGTTTGCAGGTGCCCACCAGTTGCCCATTTATGAGGTTTTTCCACCAGTAATGGAAAGGCTGTGAAATTCTAAAGCAGTCTTCCTCAACCTCCACCCTCCAGCTGTTTTGAGACTACAATTCCCATCATCCCTGACTACTGGTCCTGCTAGCTAGGGATCATGGGAGTTGTAGGCCAAAAACATCTGGGGGGCAGAGGTTGAGGAAGCCTGTCCTAAAGTATGCAAAACCTTGCACCAAATTAACTTTTTTTTTTTAAAGGAAAGCAAAACTGAACAGACAAAAATACATATTGCTGTCAAATATTATTCCACTAGCGGTTCAGCACCGGTGCTGTGGACAGATCAATTAAAACTATGATCTGTTCTGGAAGAACCACCATTCTGGCAGGTAAAGAAAAAAACACCACCTCAGGCCTTTAATCGGAACTTAGCTTTACAAGTGGCACTGAATGAATTGGGGAACAGATAGGGTACCCAACACATTATTTTTCCAACTATTAAAAAATGTAACTATCTGACAACCCTGAAAAATTCAGCTACTTAATTCAGAGTATTACTAGCATTTTATTTATTATTGTGTGTGTGTCCTTTATTCATTGTAAAATAGTGCTCTGTTAGTTTGCAGCAGCAGCAACAAGTTTAATACTATGGCAGGTAATAAAACTGTCATTAGCTTGTGTAGACTGCAGTGAATTTCATTAAGCACACAGAATTAGTCTGTATATGTATAATCAATAATATTGTTTACAAAAGCACTTACAATGTTGCTTTCTACAGTAAAGCAATATTTAATTGTATCACATCTCTTATTGCTTTGGCACGTTAAGTTCTCGGATTCACAAAACAATTAAGCTTTATAGTCCAGTAGCTTTAAACATCTGTAGAAATCGTTTATCCATTTCTCCTAATGTTTCTACAATTGGAGACTATGAAAAAGAATTATCTGTTTATTCAATGCTGCTATACAGATCTAAATTCTAGAATAGCAAGTGAGAGCAGAAAAAGAATGAACTAAGTGGCTCATAGAAAAACAAACGCCAGTAGTTACACAGTCATATTATTGTATTGCTTTATTATGTCCACACGGAACTATAGTGCTGCTATTAAGACTGTTCAAATGAGTAGACAAAATGACAAGATTGCCTACCGCTACTAACTTTGCAAGTAGAAGCAGCTGCAGAGGGAATAATGGCTCTGCCTACTGAATTACATCCTCAGTTCATGCAAGGTATGTTAATGATACTCAACAGGCTTGACTAGCATCCCACATGAACAATGTACGTGGCTCAAACATTCCCAGGAACTGATTGCAAGAGGCACAGGGGTTGTGTGGAAGTCACACAACAATTCATCAATAAACAAGTAAATATGGAAGAAGGTTCTGCAAACATTTGAAATCTACAGATGTAGAATAATGGAGTGGCACAACAACCAGAAATGATATAAAAATTATGAACACTGCACACTGAGGGAACAACCACTTAGGTCAGGCCTGCACAAGGTGTCCTGCCTTCTGAAGTCAACAGATACAACTTTCTTAGTTGTAAAATTAGTTCCTAAAGGACACCTGGATGACTCTGCTTCGTTTTTTGCAAGCACTTTTTATGAATGAAGTTTTAACCTGGATTTCTGCTTATAAATTCAATGCCCTTACTAAAGTTCTCTGCTTTCAGTGTTGCTGTTTTGTTGTAATTATTTTAGTTCCGTGAATGGATTTTAATTTATTGTTGCTGTTATATTCTTTATTGTTAGATGCAATGGAAACCATCCCCAAAAGAAGGATAAAAATACTTCACATACAATTATATATATATATATATATATATATATGCATGCCAGTCTTAATAGATGGGAGGAAACAACTGTTGAGTATTCAGTGTATTCTGACTTTGAACTCAAAATGGCACACACACAAAATCAAATTGGCAGACTTATTAAGACAAAAAAGTACCATACATGTGCAATTCTGAGGTTGTGCACACTATGGGCATAACATCACATTAAAAAACAAACAAACCCCAAAACAACTTGTTTGATATTAAAGATCTTCTTTCCAGAGCCTTTGGACACACATCCCAGACCTCTCATCTTTCACAAAATCAGCAAGAAGAAAGGATATCTGATGACACACTTAATCACTGCTATAAGGAAAAAGGTCTCACACGGTATAGTGAGGTTTCACAGGAGAGGAATGGGAACGGAAATCATTTTCACTTTTCAGAAATCTTCTCATTACCACTGTACAGCAAACCCAACCACTTTAGTGCTATAGCACAACAGAAAAACATTTCAGGAGAAATATACAGAAAATGACCCATTTCACCCTTTCCTCACCCCTTACCCCCACCCCCATGTTCCAAGCAGCACTACAAGATTCCTGTTCCAGATTTGTTGGAGGGGCATTGATACACAGCAACTCTTGTTGTGGGTCCACAATGATCATGTTTATGTAACCAAATGTATTATATTTGGTTGTAAGAGCATATCACAATACAGAAGATAACTTTTCACACTTCACTATAAAAAATCTACTTAGCTGATTGCTATTACTTTTTGATAGTGTCTTATTTCTGCCACACGAGGCAGCCATCTCATTCTACCTCACAGTGTGTTAGGCTTGTATATACAATAATTTTAAAAATTGTTCGCAGAAGAAAATTCTGGCTACTCCTTTCCCACAGGAAATAAGCCTTTTTATAAAGTAGCTATATTCAGAAGCTGGCAATGAGTGCCAAGTCAATCCTGTTCATCATAACAGGAGTAGGCTGTTTTAGTTAACATAGTACACACAATTTGAATGAAGAAATTCCAAGAAATACTGCATTCTCTTCCTTTATTCTTATTTACCAGTGCCTTGAATACACATGCAACTTATTGCTTAGACATTATTGCATATACCTCAAACATGAGCAGCCTACACAAATTTACACAAACAGCAAGGCTTTCAAATACCACTGAAGAGCAAACTCATACGCCTATCACAAGCAACATTTAAAAATATTCAAGCAAATGTTAAAGTTCACAAATTGTTTGACCACCCTATAAAGTCAATAGTGCTATCTCACTCTTTTGTGCCATTATCATTATGGGGCTATTAAATCAAGAATATTGCAGGCTTTCAATGTAGTGCAATAGGATTCATAGCCCATCATCTTTATTCCATCCCTGTAAGGGACTTTTCAGTGCTGCCTTTATCAAACATTGTGCTATGATTTAATAAGGCCCCATATCATAGATTCTATTGCACCCCTTTTCCAGCATGGATTTACAACTCAGCAATGCATCTCATTATACTTATTTCAGTAGTGTAATTGGGAAAAAACATCTGTGAAAACTGATACAGAAATTTGGTTCTTGTATTTTTAAAAAGCATTTAAATGAACTTCAAAATAATGTGACCTATTTATTTGAACCAGATTTCTGAACACTTTCCTTCAGAATTTGGGCACCAGTAGCAACTGCTTTTTTAAAAATATATTCTGCAGTACACAATACATTAACTATACATCTGCTTCAGTTTGTGGTAAATATTTACAGATTGTATCAGATTGTGTCCCTCTGCTGCAAGAAGGCTCTTTGATCCAGACGATGCTTCCAGGGTCAGAAAAGGGGTGGGGCAATTTTCCCATTTCCTCTTGGAGTTCCAAGCTGAGCTGCAGGAGAATGTTGTAATTTGCAAAAATCACCTCTCCTCCACCACTTTTTGTTCTCAAAGAAACTTTGCTGGATCAAAGACTGTTCCAAGACACAATTTGATACAACTCTTATGATTTCATAACTGACAGACACAATCCCACAAACATGTTCTTGTCAGGAAGAGGGTCAAACTAGGTGAGATGCTGGAGTTCTATGGCTAGAACTTCAAAAACCTGTTTCTTAAAAAAAATCAGTTGTGGCCGGACCGGGGGGGGGGGGGGCTGATCCAAAATAGACAGTGGTGGTGGTGCTGGTGTTATAACCTGCCCTCATGGTATTTCCCTGCTGGAAATCACTGGCTCTGAACATATTTGCTGCAACTTAACAATAAAGAACTTTCAGAAACATCACCCCTTGTATTTTTTTTCCATATGCTGGGGCAAACAGTTGTGGGGCGTGTGTGAGATCATATTCAGCAGAAATTTGGACAGGCAAAACAGGTTAACTCCCCTGCCTTGCTCAATCCAGATCAGTGTTTCTGCTTCTGCCTTTTTTAAAAAAAGAAAATGTCAGGAATTAAAGTCATGGAGCTTTCATATTATGCCTAATTTGACCCACAGTTTGATTACTCAGAGATATGTCTAATAAAAGGGGGGAACCACAATATTAGTCAAAAGCATAGGTATACATTACATATATTCTCACTTTCTGTATTTTGGAACTCACTAGCATAAGGGTCTACTTCATAATGCCAGTGTTACCCCAGGCATGATTTGTAGGCTATTACTGGATTAGTAGTATGAATATAAAATGATCTCTGTTTTCCCATCAGGCTCATTTGCCTTGCAGGGTTAAAGAAGATGGTGCTGCTAGCATACATGATTTTAATTATAGTACAAAATAACAAAACTCACCTTCAACCAGGTATGAGAGAATATATTTATTATTCCATCTTGGGGTTTAAAATTGTTCAAGCAGGACATCAAAAGGGCATATTTTAAGTAAGTATTTCAAAGGATTTTCAAAGCAGTTAGCAGCACAACCCTATACATGCCTGCTCAAAGGCAAGTCCCATTGATTTAAATGGAACTTATCCCAAAGTAAGTGAGTATAGGATTGCAGCCTAATTCACCAAGATCCAAACAATTTACTTTAGGATTTGCACACATGTATGAAGTTTCATTTTTCTTTTTTCAAAATGGCAAGCAAAATGTTCACAAATAACTTTTTAAAAACTCATCTGAGTTTTAAAAGCAGCAATGTGGCATGGGGTCCCCAGCCCCAGAAACAAATGCAAAGCCCCTACGCCACACATGTTCTTCGGATGTTTAATCAACTGGCCTTGATTAACAGTTTCTGCTGTGTAGCAAAAAAATCTTCCCCTGCTTCTGTAACATTACCTTTCATTATTTCTGCATACTGAACTACTATTTTCATTACACGGTGCATTAACTCTCACAGTATTATTTCTCCAAATATTTTGGGGGACAGTATCAGAATGCATTAATAGTAAAGCTCAAAGGAATCTGTACTACATAAAAAGGGCTTGAATCCAAAGCTTATTTAATAGGAGGACCCTCACATAAGAGGGTGCTGTGATCTTGGCTTCCTGCTAGTAATTCTTCTCTCAGAGCAGCTATAGGGTGTATAGATGCCCTTTTCTACTCATATGTCTCCCAAGATAAATGGAGATGATAACCTTAAAGAAATTGGGTTTAACTTCTAACCCATATTTTAAACAAGGAAATAATGACTTAAAAAACCAACAACCTTTAAGTTACAACACATTAGGCCACATCAATGTTTTGAGTAAGTTACTTGCTAGACTTTAAAATGTGATTTATAAATGCTAGCATATTTTAAAAGAGGCAATAGGGTATTTTTTACCTTTACCCACAGCAGGGAAAGTCAGCTTTCTAAGTTTGGAAAGCCGTACCCCCACTCTCACCATCCATCAAGCAACACATACGGAGTTGCTGGAATATTCCTGGCTGTTATCTCAGAGGATAAAGGAATGTCCTAAGGACACAGATGCAAGCCACCAGGCTTAGAGTAGATGGAAAAGTAATAAAGGAGGCACTTGCTTCCACTGAACCTGGCTTCACCATCCTCATGCCATCTTTCTCTTTTGCAGACATCAAATATATGTGCAGTCAGGAAAACCAACTTTCTCCATAAGAATTATCATGTTGGAGAAAAATAAATAATGTTGAAGGACAAATACAACTCAATAATCATTATTTGGCCCTGATCTACGGTATTACTCCCCCACTCCCCCCCCCCACTCCTTTTCTGAGAGTGTAAAAGTTTCCCAGCTGTACATGACAGTGTTGTAAAACACAATCGAGTTGAATCCAGGTTAAGTGAGTTAAACTTCAGTCTCAATTAAATCAGTAGCAACCGATTTCTTCTGGATCCAACCCATTTGATCCAAGATACATATTTTAGCATTAGGAAAGGAAGATGGCATTATAGAGTGATCTATATACAATAATGGATAATGACAGAAGCTGCTCAGTGCCTCAGTTTTCCAACTCCATGCTATAGCATATACTGTATAAGGAAACTTAAATCCAAACAAAGAAATAAGACTACACAATGATTGCATATCTGGATCAAAAAGCAGCTTAAAAGATTTATGTATAACTGTAATAAATAAGTAGTGAAATTAAGAGGACTCTCCAATTATGCATCTTGTACTTTCTGATAAGATACCACAATACCACATCTGCCCAGAAAAATTAAGTTATTTTAAATTCCAAAATATGTAAAGCACAACACAGCCAAAATATATTAAAGTGCAATTCTATGTATGTCTACTTAGAAGCAAGGGCCACTTAGTTCAGTGGAACCTACTGTATATGTAAATACAGGATTGCAACTTTAATGGAAAAGAAACTATGCATAAGCACAATTGTGATTCACTATTACAGAGTAATTGCAAACAATACTGATAAAATATTTTGAAGGGTACTTTTCCAGCCCAAAGCAAGTGTTATTTGAAGTGATTTGCAACATATATAAACAGTGGTCTTCTGCAAGCACAATCTGCTACATGACACTGTTTGGGCAACTACTGAAGTTCCTTCCCCTACCCCCAGAAAAATCTGAAGAAGTGTGCATGCACACGAAAGCTCATACCAATAACAAACTTAGTTGGTCTCTAAGATGCTACTGGAAGGATTTTTTTTAGTTTTGTTTCGACTACGGCAGACCAACACGGCTACCTACCTGTATCTATAACCCAGAAAAATCAACAGCAAATTAGGGCTGGCCTACTCATTGGGCAAGAATAGATATATTTAAAAATCCTGAGTCTGGTTAAGGGACAGTGGTCAGCCAGCTGCCAAGTTCAAGGACATGGATCTTTGCAGTTCAGTAGGATCCCGCTACTTCCCTATAAGCAACTGTGCTTCAATTTGTAACTGGGTTATTTTCGCAATCCCAGAGAAATGTGGGATAAGGACATGAAGACGAGCACCTTCACTATTTCCAGGTGATTGTAGCACTGTGGAGATACCACTCTGCTATGGCTGCTGGGTGGGGGATGGAAAGCATACCAACCTGGCTTAAGAAGTTGCTGGGTCCTGCTTAATAGCTACATTTGAAATGAGTAAGAACAGTATGTGTAGTTCCTTGAAAAGCTTAGTGGGTAACACTTCATTGAACCAGCAATCTGAGGATAAGTTTGTCTACAAGCAAGAAGAGCTTTCAAAGCTACTTCCATTATTCTGCATAAGTGGATGATTTCTTCTAACACATAATATTGGATTGCTATTTCAAAAGTTTTTAATTTAGAAAGTTAAAATGTGTTCAATTTTGTTTCAGGGATAACCCAAAGTAGCTAAGTAATGGTTAACAAATGTGTTAAAAGAAGGCAGTTTACAATCAAAAGAGGCAAATCAAATTAGAAGGATTAAACAGCACCCAATATTGTTACTGCTTGCACCTAACAGCTGTCTTTTCTAAAATATGTTTGTTAGCAACTTTCTGTTTCTACCAGGAAAAATTGAATATATTTATGATTTGAATTTCTAGGCTTCTTATCCAGACACTCAAAAAAGCCTCCAGGAAAGAGAATGACACATGCTCAGATATCACTTGATCTCTCATAATTTGGAGCCTAGGCTGAATGTGTAAAGTGCCACCATGGACAAACATTACATTTGAGGTGACAGGAAATTTCTATCCCTCTTATTCACGGTGTCTACAATGATATTTCACAAATGCAAGTCAACACTTAAGTTACAGTTATCAATGGATGAACATGAGTATCTGAACAGGGCCTCTGTGTTTATATTAAATATACAAAATATTATAACACTAATATGAAGAACAGATCCAAACTGTCTTGATTGTCATGACACTTAAAATGCAATTTAAAAGACCTTTGAGAGCAGTCATAATCTTATGAATCCAACAACATTTAGCAAGCTATAAGGAGTTAGAAGCACTCTAAGAAAAGGGGGATTTGCATGTTGTAATAACTCACTTTTTAAAACCTATACTAACTAGTAACCACAGGCTATTATTTGTTATGTAAGACAAATAACCTTTTGCACCAGGCTTTGTTAACAAATAAATATTGGAAGAACTAACACTTTAGGGACCATGAAAGGGACAAACAAAGGGACAGGAAAACAGCTTGTTCTCTACAATACTCCTGCATATTTGCATCACAAACATGAAAATGAACACAACCTTATTAGCAAATTATGACACATGGTATCCATAACAATCAGACAAAGACCTGTCAACTGACTAGTTGATCAACACAAGAATATAATACACCATAAAAGTGGAGGCCACTATAGCAGAGAACATTTGTAAAATTAATGCAAACAAATAGATTACCATTATCTGTTCTTGTGTTTCCTTTTTACATAGTATTCATCAGCAACATGCTCTTGCAATTATGTTGAGAGCTAAGCCACTTGAAGAAAGAAGTTTCTATCATTAGAGAGAAACTATCAACCTATCAGTTTTGTAGAACTGCTCCGAAGTTGAAAATAATAAAATGCATTTACTGTATATATATTTTTAAATAGGGTTTTCCAACTTAGTAAAGCAATGTTTTTTTAACTTGCTTTAAAGAAAAAAGAGAGCGATAAGAATGTCAGTGAAAATGAATGCATTAGCTACAATTTAAACTTAACAAGCACAATAGTTCTTGGGACAGATTCACATGTTCTAGACTCGTTAGTTTTTTCCTGCTTCAGTGCTGTAGTTCACACCCCACAAAAATCCTTTTGTTATATGACACTACACTAAAAACATAGATAGGTTCCAACAGCCATGATAGAGAAGGAACACTGGTGCAAGAATTTGCTAATGTCCATACTGTTTACCATGCAAGCATGTACTAGAATTCACATATATTTAAAAAAAACAAAAACCTGGGGGGCAGGGGCCTGCAGATTTCCTTTATGTACAGAAAGAATCAATACAAGTAATTGATTTAAAAGAAAAAGAACCCCTAAACTCTATGGTATGTGTTTATGTAAAACTGTTCTATAAATTAGAAAAGATCATGTGCATGCATACAAGGCAGCAGAAAACGTAGTAAAAGATTATAGATTCAAAGCAAAATTCTCGCAAAAATGTAAAAAAGTTGTCAAAAGATGAAACCTCAGTTATGAACACCATACATTAAGAAAGCAGAGAAACATGCCAGGAAAGTTGCCATATTAGCAGAATGTAAACCAAAGATCCTGACATTCACAGGCATTAAAAACACATTAGTCTAAGAAACCTGAGTGAGAATTCATAGGAACGTACTGCTAGAAAAGTTTGTTCCTTTACAGGTTCGTTTGTCTATTAAGTGCTTAGAACACACTACCAAGGTTGTATATGCAGCATGTTACTGTTTCCCATTCCATGTAATACAAGTCTTCAAATGAAGTGGCCCTGGGTGCCCAGGCAGTGCGCCAAGAGGAAGGCTACATTGAACAGAGGTAATACCTTTTTTCCCTTAACAGGAGTTTTTTATGGCAAAAGTGTGCATTGTTCTTTCAAGTTCCCGTTATAGATGGTTGTTGCATTAAAAATCTTCTAGTTATATTTGCCATTCTTATTAGCTTTGGCTTCTCCATGTCCAATAAGACAAATAACTTTGTAACATCCCTTTGTGATTCTGACCATCCACTTTAAGTTCATGATGTCCAAGATAATGCTGGAGATAAACCAGGCGCTTTGAGCTGCAAGTCCTAATCTGTCGAAAGCTTCTGTTCCTACCTCAGCAGCAACCTTGGCATAATAAATTGGGATGACTATGATCCTCCCCAGGAAAAATGTGATTGTCATTAGTAGTCCGTTGATGATGTTGGATTTTGATGCCTTGGAATACCCCAGTACTTCATAGAACCATCTGCAAGAGAAAAAATATTAACAGAAATTAAATCAAATTTTGTGAGTGCAACCTCTGAATACAGACTCAGATTTGGATATAAAGATTCCATCAGCTCTACAAGCATTCAGAATTCCTGACTTTTATCATAGTTTCATTTCTCATCACTTTCATGCAGCTAGAAAGCTGTAAAGATATCTGTAAAGATATTCAGAATTGCTAATGTTATGAATCTTTTTTTTATATACCAAATTGTAAACAGATACAATGTTAGTGTCCTTTGATATTTTTTCCTACAGTGCTGCGTTTTGTGAAATACTCTGTTCCAGATCTAAGTGGTTCCTTCATTATTGTAACACAATGTCCTTTATCTTCCTGACAGATCCAAACGAATGGAACCTTGGTACTGAAATGAAATCCATGAAAGCTCTAGAAACAGAGTACAAAGAGTTCAGCACTACTCCATTTTGGCTTGCAAGAAAGCTTGCATGTGCTGGAAAAGTGAAAGTCACATCTTGCCAAATCCTAGACAATATCAAAGCTTTGCCTCTCCCTCTCCACATGTGAGCAGTGTGAGAAAACATATTTAGGGCAGATGCTTATGTTACAGCAGTTAGCATTGTTACTATACTCCACTGGCTGATTTCCACGTCACTCTGTTAAAGTAGGTTTATATTTCTCTGCCAATACCTCTCCCCAATCTTGTTTTCTTACAATGGCATACTTTTCCCTACACTATCCCATGCTCCCAAATAGTTTTTGCATTTTTCCTTAACAAGAGCTACATGACATGGGAGTACGAGAGATGCTACTCCACAGTGTACATAGAATCATAGAATTGTAGAGTTGGAAGGGACCACGAGGGTCATCAACTCCAACCCCCTGGAATGCAGGAATCTTTGGCTCAACATGGGGCTTGAACCAGGGGCGCCGACTTATAAAAAATATTGGGGGGGCCCATACCGGGGAGGGTGGAGCCAACTAGGCTGGCGGGGGCGGGCGCGGCCGGTGCAGAGAAAGCCGGAGCGGCGACTGCGCTTTGAACCCGCTGTCAGTCAGCCGGGGCTGAAAGGCAGACTTTCTCCCTCGGCTCGTCGTTTGCCCGGCCCGGCCGCCCGTGCGGGATCCCACCGGGGAGGCGGAGTGCTGAATGCCGTTACAGTTTTATTTTGGGCGCCTCCGGTCTCCTCCTCCTGCTTTTCCCGTGCTCCATCCCCTCGGCGACTTCGCGCTTCCAGCAGAGAAGCTGCGCGCAGCTCCAGGCGGCGGATGGGAAGACCCCCTCGCGGGTTTTTCACGCCTGGAGAGCGCCGGTTCGGAGCGGGTCGCAGTCTCCACTGTTGCCGGCCGAGCAGGAGCGCCGAAGAACCAAGAGTGGGCGGGGACGAAGGGAGACGAAGCCGGGAAGTGACGGAGGCGACAGAAGGTAGCGGCGCGCGTCACCTTCTATCCGAGGCGCGTGGAAGCGGAATGAAGCGGCTGGCAGAGAATCGCCGGGGGGGGGCGTAATGAGGCCGAACTAATAATTTTCTTAAATTATTGGGGGGGCAGAGCCCCCCCAAACGAATTTTTGAGGGGGCTCGGGCCCCCTCAGGCCCCATGGAGTCGGCGCCTATGGCTTGAACCCACAACCCTGAAATTAAGAGTCTCATGCTCTATTGACTGAGCTATCCCACAGAGTTACATATTGGCCCAAACATAAGCAGGATGGTACCAGGGTTTCTAGCAGGCTCTTGACCTTTGCCACAAGTTTCTTTAAACAAAGCCTGACTTACAGATGGTCAGGGTTCGCAAAGTGCAAGTGGGAAAGACCTATGATTCTATTTTTTATGCACATAAGCATGTCATTTGTTCAAACCACAAAGGCTCCTGCAAAATGATCCACAAGCTAGAACTACCAAATAGGAAAGGAAGGAAGGAAGGAAGCTTGGATTTGGTTTGGCTGAGAAATATTCTCCAACACATTAATCAAATATGTTGCTTCCAATTTCAGAACAGTATCTGGTTAATACTGTACACACTAGCTTGACATATCAGGCTTTTTAAACTTTTTGTTGACAATTTTAGAAGGATACTTGGGTTGTTTGCAAAGGTCACTGAGTTCAAAAGTTAAAAATATGACAGAGTAGCATTGCTTGACTACTTCATTTTTGTTAATGATACAAACATGTATATCTGAGCTAGTGTCAACAATTTACATTATTTACCATCTGGTTCTTCTCAAATTTAATAAATCTATATATGAATGCTGATGGGATAGCAAATGCTTCACTCTCTCTCGTCACCTTCTGCAAACATTTATCAAATGAAGTAGCAAGTTAGTTTTATTTTTAGAACACTGCTTCAAAAGAGGAATATGTCCTTTTTCACTGATAAGGCTTCACAGTCTCAAAAGTCTCAGTATGGCTCTCTCAGGCAGATAGGCATTTTGTATTCAGTACATTAGCAAGATCACAGCTGAACTTTCCTTTCAAGATCTTTTCGTACAAAAGGCTGTGCATTCGTTGACTGTTCTTGTACTTAAGTGGAAGTCCTGGAGGTTCTTTTATATTGATAAATATAGCAATTCCTCATTTCAAAGAAGCAACTGCCAACAGGGTGCAGTATTTATCCGGTTAGCTGTTGCATTAAATTTTAAGTTTAGCCTATAATAAGGCCCCCTTCTGACATTAAGTTCTCTGCATGGGAGCTTTCACTTCTTCAAGCACTGTATTAGTTACAAAACGTCACCATCAGCACCACATGAGAAATGTCAGCTCCACAGCTTCTTCCCACACCAGTGTTGCCCCCACATCTGGGAGCAGCATGGGAAGTAGCCATGGTGATAGTTCATCAAATACAGTTTAAGGATTCAGACATTACATTGTGGCATGGGAGTAACTGTCACATGATTCCTCCTTACAGTGCAATGGTAATGACAGAAGGGGCCCTCAATTGTCTGCAGAGAGCCTCAGCAGCCTTCTAACAGAAACAATTAAATTATTTGAGCCCATTATCTCTTAAGGACATGGCAGAGAAAGCCAGAAAAAATGTGTTGGCACAGTTCTAACATAGCAGAAAGGGGAAGCCTATTTGCCCTTCATTCCAGAGGAAGCAAAGACACTGCACAGTTTGCTGTCTAAGCCACAGACTGTGGGAAGACAATAGCATCAGGGAATACTACAAGAACCAGATTTTAAAAGACTTAGAAACACAAGGGTTGCTGTACTGTACCTAAAAATACCCAGAGAAGCAAATGAGGGTGACGGTATGACTAATACAATATAATGAATTGGCACCCACAAATTCTAAGGAGTAAGGCTGAATCTTGATTTTTCTTTTTTAATGTATAAAGCTGCCTGTTTAAGTACAGGAATAGTATTAAATAGAACACTAGTTAGTTGATTAATGCTGTGACAGCAAAGTATGGTGGTGTGGAATACACTCTTTACATCGACACAGTAAGCCAAACTACGGCTAACCAGGAATGTGTAAATGGAGCCATGTTAATGCTCAGGCTGCTCATGTTTTGTGATGGATTTTGACTGAAACCTTTGATGTATGCCAAAATTTATTAAAGTGGCGGTTTAACAAAAAGCACCACCAGGAGAGAAAAAATTAGGCTATACCTTGCAAAAGATTAGGATGCACATACACAATACCTGACAATGAACACAAGTGCCAAAATTGCATCAGTTTACTGAGTAGATTTCAAGTATCCTTGTATTAGGGAATTCCAATCTTGTATGTAAAGATTCCTCAGTTTATGTGACTAAAAGTAGTCTTGCTTAGAAATGAAGACTGGCTGAAAATTGGTAATTGCTAACATTATTTTGCATAGCAGCTTTGAGAGGATTTATGCCAGTTACAAAAAGGGGAAAATTTAATGATACAAAGCAAAATTTTATTAAGAAAGTTAATACTCCAGTATTTAAAAATGTTCCTCATTGCTCTGATAGGCTAACAAAAATAATTTATCTGTATGTAAAAGAGTGTCTCTCCCACTATCAACCATCTTCAGCCCTACAAACAGCTGCAGAGGCCCTGTTAGTGGTGCCATGACAGGGTCTTATTGGAAGTAGTTCCCTTTTATGAAATGCTCGTCCTTGTGGCTGGCTCTCTTTATTATCAACATTCAGGAAGAATTTAAAAACATACCTGTTCACCCCAGCATTTGATGGCTGAAATATACTGTACCTTGAAATTATTAACTGTGAGGATATGGGACTGTTCTAAAATGTTTTCACATGTTTTTAAAACATTGTGGGTGTAGTTTTGCTGTTTTGTTGTTTTCCTCCCTGTGCAACTTTGGGAGGAAAGGTGGAATAAATATAAAATAACCTTAGGAATGCTAGAATTATATAAAATGGCTCCTACCATTAACATTTGTGTTTGGAAACTAGTAAGACAAGATTGAATAAAACCAATAGCCTAAATAATTATCTTTATTTCAATGGACATACTCTGAGTATAACTTACTTGGATGCCTCCCCAAAGTTTGTTTTCTTTTACAGTCTTTAACATGCCTGCCTTCACAACAACCCTTTGAAGTGGACTACTGCCATTTCTAATATACTTTGATATGGATTGGAATACTACCTACTGAATGAACCGCATCGGAGCAAAGACCTGACAACAGGTCTTGCTGTGTAGTCCCTGAAATACATACTCTTGGCAACAGGCAAGTTAAGAACAGCTTATTAATGTAAGAAAATGTCACCTACCGCTGATTCACAAAAGGGGTAGATATTTCTGCAAGCAGACGAAAATTAGCAAAGTATGCCAACAGTCCTCTTTCCTAGATAAAATAAGCATTATCACAATCAGAAAGAGAGAGAGAGAAAGTCTCAGAAAAGCTGTAAAAATTATTATACAAGATGAAATATACAAATTGAAATATACTGTATATTTCTACAAAATGCCAAATTAAATGTACATAATTAAACAGAATACACTTTAAAACAGTGCTTAAACTCCCTCAGTTTGGTTCCCACACCACCTATGTACATCATGTACTTAATGCACCTTGCATTCTGTTGTTAAAATTGTATAATGTTCAAAACTGAATCATATCTTCTAGCAAGGTCAAACCCAGGTTGGTGACCTTTTAGGGTACTTCAAATGGTTCAAGAAAGATCAGATGAGATATGAAATTAAGATCTGCTGACAAAATTGTAGTTTTACCCATTAACCCACAAAACCACATACTCAACAGAAACAAGTTGCATTGTCAGAGACCTCTGTAGCCTTGTTTGCAAGAGCTCTGGCTTCGGCTAATGGAGATGAGCCTTCCTTTGCCATTGGCTCTGCTGCTAAGCTCTTATGTAATGCTTACAATCATTCCGGTTGCTCATAATTTTTTAAAACTGTCAGCACATCGTCCCAAATAAGACTGTGCTCTGTAGAAGAGAAGTTTTGAATCATGAGGGAAATTAGTTAGTTAGTTACAAACAAGTCAAAAAAAAATTTTCAAGTACACAAATAACAGAGTAGAACTACCAAATCTGAACCTCATCAATGCCTCTTCTAAAGGCTCTCTGGACTGGCATTTGAACCAAAGAGGAACCAATCCAAGTAACTGGGTCCCTGGTGCCACCTGAAAAATAGGAAGCTGCAACACAACTGCTGACAGGAGTGAGGTTCCATCAGCATATTACAACTCTGCTCAAATATTTGCACTGGCTGCTGGAACAGTTAGACGCTATGTAATGTGCAAGTTTTAAATTTGTTTAAAATTATATTTCTGTGAAGACATTGCTATGATCCCCTAGACCCCAAACTTTACTATAACTAGGTATGTGTAGCCCAAATATTTTAATATCCCCTCACCTTTTTACTCCACCCCCATTGCCATCCCTTTCTTCTGTCATTAGGGCAGGGACCTCTCCTTTCATTCTTTAGAAAGCACTATGAACATGGATGTTGCTCTATAAATGACTAATAACGTTCAAATTATGAATCCCACATGGCTCCTTGCTCTGCTATTACAAAAACAATACAGCACTCACCAGTACAAAGTAGTAAGCATACAGAGCTACTAAATGGTGAATTACAAAATATATATCCCCAATCGCATTCCAGTAGAAAATAATAAGCAACAAATCTAAAAGAAAGAGAGAGAAATGAAAGGCTCAGTAATTTTCTTCAATCATTGTATTTCATCTTAAAGCATTTAATAGACAATCATTTGGGGGCAAGGAAGAAGAATTAAAATAGGTATCAAATCATGCAAATACTCAGCAAGTGACAATGCTTCTCCTAATCTATGCTACAAACAATCTGTAATAACTCCTGAAGTGAAAGCTGAGAGCAGAAATATAAATACAGTGTTTGGTGTATCTGTCTGTAATACACACCAGCCAGTGCCAGGCTATAGCATGGTGAGGCATCTTATCCTAAGATATTACACACTGGCACAGCAACGCTATATAAAACCCTTTCTGCATGAGTCGCCATTATATGATACTTAGCCTGTCAAAGCTTTCCCATGACTCCCATGTTGCTGCCATGTGCTGACTTGAATGCAGGTGTCCATTGTTTTAGGTAGATTTTGTGTATGTGTGGATAGGACCAGCCTTGGAAGGCATTAATGTTCTTCACCATTTTGTCTCAAAACACACACATGCCAATTATCGGGTAGGCTGTTCAAGTTTAGCACTTCTGCACCAGAGAGTTGAATAATTTTGTTGCAGAAATTGAATACAATAGTAGTTTCCCTTAAGAAATCTTAGGAGGTCATAGCACTGAAACTGAGGACTTGCAATATAAAGTGTACAGGGGATTTCAATCTTATGCTGAGGAAAATGTTTCATGTGCTGCTGACATTTTTAGTGAACATGCTGAGCTTTCCTCCTTTCACAGAATAAAACTGAAAGCACCCATGAACAGAGCTACAAGATAGATATTGGTATAAATCAATTAAAATAATAAAATAATAATAGTCTACTTGCCAGTTCCATTGGGGATATCTTTAATGCAATCTATTAAAAAAAAACAAGTCCAAACATCCCACTGCAGTGGCACCTCCAGAGAGAGGGCACACCAGTCAAACTACTGACAATGAGAAAAGTGAAGGATTGGCAAAGGGCAGCTATAAAATAGATAGCAACCCTTTTTCATGGTATTAAGGGTTATAGTTTCCAGCATATCATCAGGAAATAGAGCCCCAAGCCTGGATTGTGGCACCTAATCATATGACTGTGCTGCTTCCCACTAATATGAACCTCAGGTATAAATAATCCAGCCAATTTTAAAGTTGTTTCAAATTCCATATGGTTGTTTGGATGTTGCTATCCATTACCCCTGCACAGCATCCACAGTTTATAATAAATTCCACCCCAGAATGCCGAAAACACTTTTGAAAATTATTTTTGGTTTTGCCATATGTTTTAGGGCCCAAAAGAAAAGATGCATATTCACGTATGCATTTTTTGCAGCCCTTTAAGATGGGGGCTGGGGGGGAGAGGTTCAACTTTCACAGGAACAAAACTGAACCGACCAGAAGATACTTGCCATCTGGTTTAGTTAGCTTCTCTTCCCCTTCGCTGCATTGCTACAGTTATCAAATTACTGGTGCCAGATCAGGGTTACTGCAGTGGGGCAGGGGGGAGGGGAGGGTAATTCCTGTTGCTTCGGAGGAATGACTGGCTGTATTCAGCCTTGGAGTATTAGAAGCTGGCAGAGGAACTATAAGCTTGCAACATTACAATATTGTCGGTAAGCATATAATCATATTTCCCACCAGCATGTTTCCCCACCCCACAACACAAAAGGCAAGGAAGGTAAATTCTGCTTTCTAAGAAACAGGGTTTCCTAAAGGCTAATACCTTGGTAAATATTTTTATTGTAAAAAGTTAAGTTGTGCATGGTGCAAATTACAACAAACTTTGCAAATAACATTGTATACTTTACCAGAAATGAGGTAGCCTGAAGTAATAGCAAGGTTTAGTTGCACTGTAGAAGGCTCACCCCTATAAACAATGACACAAAGGATGCAAAAGTTATAACACCTGCATGACAACTACATATATGTATATTAGTTAACACATATGGAAATATTTGCCTCCTTGCCCCAGAAAAACACCCTGCCTGCCCTCATGCCCACTTTTCTACCCTCCCACACAATTTGGGATGGTGTAGGGAATAAGAAATATTTAACTAACCGTGACATATGACAAAAAGGTATAGTAGCAGCTCTTCAACAAATAGCTTATTAAGAGTATGGACTATGGAAGATGGAGAAACTCTTCACTCTTCACTGAAAAAGTAAAACTACTTGGGCCTCTCTAGTCTTGTTCATTATACCAATGGTTTTCAGAGCCATTCTGTGACATTTTTTCTCTTCCTTTCTGCTGCTTTGCTAGTTTTTATGGGGCCGACAAGCAACATGCTAATCTATTACTGACTGATGGCCAAACCAGTTTGTTAATCTTTCTGCCATCACCTTCACCCTTTATGTGTGTGGGATGGGTTGTGACTCTGTGCGCAGGAAATGGTAGATTGTCCTCTGTCTTCTGCTTCCTAACCATGTATAGATGTATACATGAAAATGGAGATGGAGAAGCTTTTTCAGCCCAAGAGTCATTTATCTGCATGGGCAAACATTTGGATTTTTTTTGTTTCCCCCCCTAAATTTTGAAACATTTTTTGTTAATACAGTTTGATAGTACAAAACAATCTTCTGCTTGTCTCATAGAAGAGACACAGGGAGTCAAAAGCTATTTTATCCTGCCTTTGTAGTTTATCTTCACTTGCATAAACAATAAAACACAAATCTGGGCTACCATTCTAGGGGCTACATGCCAGGAATAGGGGCCAGAGGTAAAAATGGGTGGAGCAACAGATGCAGAAAGAGTCACATTCCAGCCTCACAAAAGTCTGAGGCTGGACATACACCCTCCTGCAAATCTCTCCATCCTTCATCCTGGCAAGCAAAAGGCATTATCACACTTCAAGGACACATTCTAGCCAGGCAAAAGCAATTGAGAATGATGAGGAGTTTATGAGGAGAGACCCACTGCAGATATATCTCACATGTACAGAATGATCCCCAGTGATGCAACATATGAACTTGATAGACAAGACAGAGGATTAGGCTTCAAATTAATGTAAGACCTATATTTGAGCCTTAAATAAATCTAAGTTTTGTAAATCTTCAATGCAACCTTTTACCTGAAGAATGTAGCCAACATAAAAGGAAGAAAAGTGGCTGTGGCATGCTTGTCATTCCCCTGTAATTTTCACCTACATTTAAATTGCAATTTCCCAGACTTAATTATATTTGCCTCTAATTGTTCCAATTCTCAAATGGCAAGAAAGAGTTACTAATTAAAAAAGAAAATCTTTCATAAACTGACTTTGGAGCTTAACTCTGCCTTCTCTAGGGAGAAGGCAAATTTTAAACCATGATCATACAACATCGTTTCAATTTCATCAGCGTTTCTTTCAGTGTTTATCATCAGTCATAAAGTCAACTAAAATCAAACCATGGTGGACTAATCAAAAAATGGAAAGCAAACTCTTGCTGTACTAAACATCAAAAGGAGTGTGCAAAGGAATTCCAGTCGTAGATAGACCACATGCGTCCAGGTTCTATACAGTGTATAAACATTGCATCAATGTAAATTGTATAAAACTATTTAGGCCTAATAAGTAAAAACAAGTTTGTTTCCACTTAAAACAATGTGCTCACTTTAAAAAAAAGTGATCCTAGGTTTCAGTTGCGATCCAACACCCTCAGCAGGGATGTACAGAGCTGTGGGGCCATCACAGCATCTGCAGCCAGGATGGAAGGGAGCAAGCAGACTGCTGTGCACAACCGAGAGCAACAAATAGGCCTGGACTGGGAACCAAAATATACAGGGTGGTTGATTCCCTCATCACGTTCACAACACCTCATTTTCTACAGGCTGCTGCCAGCATGGATCTTACAGGCAGTCTTCCCCCAACACACACACACACAATGTGGAGAAGGGGGAAGTGAGCACAAAGTGACACTAGTGTTACTCCAGCAGTAACCAGCTTACCTGGGAAAGCTGGACAGAGGGATACCTCCATTCATTTCAACTCTCTCCCCCAAGCCCAGCATAAGGAGGGAGGGCTTAAGATTGCTCTGCCCATCATGAATTACATTTCACCTTGATTCTCATGATAGCGAGCCAACAACAAGTTGTAGGTGAATTTTCTTGTGAAGATGTTTGCACAGATTTCTGGCAATTGTTGCTTGATTATTTTTTTAAAAAGGAAAGTATGAGAACAAACTGAAACTTAGCAGACATGTGCAGATAAGGCATACAAACTGCAGTGCCAAGAACTACTGCCCCACTCCACAAATTAGCTGAAAATATGAATCCAGAAGGGAATTATTTCTGTACACACCACTGTATGCCTCAAAACCAGCAACAAAAACTTGAAGCTTCAAAATTAATGAGAAGCTCCAATTTGATCTTCATCAATGGAAGTGGAATCCTACATTTTATTTGCTGTTAAAAACTTAGTAGCGGTGGCAGACAAAGAATCAGGCACTTTTTACTGCATTAGACAAGTAGATGCTGCTGAAAGAAGCACTTAATATAGCCTTTAAACCTTCTTCTTATTCCCCAACATGCTAGCTAAATCACAGCCAACTGAAGATTGAAACTATTTCAAAGCTCATCCAAAGAACTCCTATTCTAACAAAGGAAACTAGTTCTCTCCCTGAATAATCAGGCATTTAAGAAAGTTTATGTCAGTAGATTTATGTCAGTTTCCTACTCAATAGATTTAAAATCTGGTAAGTCCTCCCCCTGTCCCCTGTACAGAAATCTAACCCGTTATTATTGTAATGCTCCCCAGGTGGAGGAGCATTAAAAGCCTCAGCGCCTAGGACTTGCCGACCGAAAGGTCGGCGGTTCGAATCCCCGCGGCGGGGTGCGCTCCCGTTGCTCGGTCCCAGCGCCTGCCAACCTAGCAGTTCGAAAGCACCCCCGGGTGCAAGTAAATAAATAGGGACCGCTTACAAGCGGGAAGGTAAACGGCGTTTCCGTGTGCGGCTCTGGCTTGCCAGATGCAGCTTTGTCACGCTGGCCACGTGACCCGGAAGTGTCTCCGGACAGCGCTGGCCCCCGGCCTCTTGAGTGAGATGGGCACACAACCCCAGAGTCTGGCAAGACTGGCCCGTACGGGCAGGGGTACCTTTACCTTTAAAGGGAACACAAAGCACACATTCCAATGAATTGCTTCCAATAGCAACTAGCCACATTTCTCTTGTGCTGCTTTTCAGTGGAAATGCAAGATCAATACCAACATTCATTTTCTAGAAAGACCACCCTCGTTTTGCAATGCTTTGTGTCATCTTTACAAAACGTTTTAGGAAGCAAAGTGGCCTCAAACAGAGATTCTGAAAAAGGGATCTATAATTTCATGCGAAGTTTATACCAGCAAACCATGCTGAACCTCAGCTACCTGCATCAGCACCTTATTAAGAAAAAGTATGCACAGTATTGGCTGTCTAATTCTTAATGCTGCCACAGAGTTCTCATCCACACGTTTTATTTGTAGTATCTCATGTTATTATTATTTACTTATTAAATTTATATCCCGTTCTTCCTCTCGAAGGAGCCCAGGGCAGCAAACACATCCACAAGCAAAACACACAAAAAAGGCCTTGTAACATTCTCTTATCCAGTGGTCTCATGGTTGCCAGGAGCAGCATCCTTCAGCCATCAAATACCTGGGTAAACAATGGTCATAGCGGTAAACAGTATTTATTAGACAGAAGGTGGTGATGATGGTATCAGTGAGGAAGCTTACAGGAATTTTATCACTGTAAACGCAACTTCAATAAGCAACTCTGATAATCCAGAGCCTCAGAATTCTTCTCAACATTATAGCCAACACAAATAAGAAACAACACTTTAGAACTTCTGTACAATTGGTAGAGGTAAATGTCTTATGCTTTAAATTAAGCTTGGAAATAATTTGACTAGCAGAGTGAAGAGCAATGGAACAGTCGAGTGGGGCAAGGAAAAGGGGAGAGGAGATTTACAAGCAAGAGTGTGCCTTACCAAACATGGTCAGCATTTACAGCTTCATCGTACATTAAAATATACAAACAAAATACTCCAACCAACAAGGCATGGAATGATGATACCGTCCTAAAAAGAAAAGAAAAAACACAACCCAATTAGGAATGAACTGGATTTAAAATTGGGGGAGATGGGTGCAACAATTATATGCTTCTCGAAATTCTCAAAATATTTAAACCTCAGTCAGAAAAGCCTGCCATTAATACAGATTGCAAAATAGTATCCATGGAAAATAGTTTTGAGTTGGGAGTCACCTACACTAGAATGTTTCAAAGTGCTTGTTCTGCATGTAGGAAACTGTATTATTATTATATGGCAATGCCATCCAAAAGCTGGGCAGATATGAGTTTCAAAGAACTCACCCATTGCAGGCCATTATCTAGTTTACTTCATAGTGAGAGAGGGAGACCTCAGCTACCAGGCTCCCTACAAACAAGAGTAGGATAACACCAAAAAGGGGGTTCCCTGTTATTATATACAGTGGTACCTCGGGTTAAGAACTTAATTCGTTCTGGAGGTCTGTTCTTAATCTGAAACTGTTCTTAACCTGAAGCACCACTTTAGCTAATGGGGCCTCCCGCTGCTGCTGTGCCGCCGCTGCACCATTTCTGTTCTCATCCTGAAGCAAAGTTCTTAACCTGGGGTAATATTTCTGGGTTAGCGGAGTCTGTAACCTGAAGCGTCTGTAACCTGAAGCATCTGTAATCCGAGGTGCCACTGTACTATTCATTTTCAAAAGGCCATTGCAGAAGCAGATTTAGGGCAGAGCTATAGTTTTACCATACTGGGCACCAAGTCTAGGGTGTACCACAGGGCGCCACAACTATTACCGTAGAGAATTGAGCAGAACGGAAGACCAGAGGTGGGAGGCACAAATTTTGGCCTCGCAGGGTGCTGCTGAAATTTGAAAGACTGAAGTCCATCTCTGACCATTGTCATTTGTGTCCCAAGGTTCAAAGTGCTTCATATACTCTGCAGATAACTGTGCCAGCTTAACACATCCAGGTATCAGAAACTTGAATTAGTGTTGTTGAAGCTTCACTTAAGAATGACAGCTAGCACATACAGGAACTCCAACACCATGACACATAACTCTAACACTAATACATAAACTATGTGTGCTTTTTCATTCAGGCCATTGGTGGCACCAACAGCAGTTCTGTGACCACCTCCCCAAAACTAAAGCAAAGGAGAAGCCTTGAAAATACAGAGATCCAGCAAATCTTTGGAATGGAGCCATACATTTCAGTGCATTGAACCGTCATCTAAGAACCCTGGTCAGAGAGAGAAATTTACAGAAAGAAAGTGAATCTTTTGTTGGTTCACCACACATCTGTTTGCTGGTGTTTTCAGAGATAAAACACTGATCAAACATTATCTTCCACTCACTTTGGGGCTTCAGTTAAGAAAAGCCTAACAGAAACTTTGCCTGTCGTAATGCCACTCCTTTAACGGCAGTTGGTAAACAGTCTTCCAATATCCATTCATTTGGCACCACTCCAACAGCGAAAGATGCGCACCACTAAGTATATTCTCTTAGAAATATGGAGTGGTATTTTTCCTTACACCACAGGTAGATCTCACATTCAACTGCAATACTTGCAACGTGAAAGATGCATTTAGAGCACTATTTTATAAATTGCTAAGTAGTTCGTTTTCCCCGTGTCAAATTTTAAAACGGAAATTCCTCAGAGCAGGGACCTGTCCTCTTGAACTCTGTAAAGTGCTGTGCGAACTGATAAAGCTATATTTTTGTATGAGATTAATGGTTTCTCCCACAAGAGTACTGCAAAATATCACTTAGGCAACAAAATGCAATGCATATCTGCAGTGGGGATCACAGGCAAGATGTGCATATCACAAATCAGTTGGTGTGTATAGTTTCATATTTAAGAACAAAGGTATACTGCATCTCAGTGGTCAATTCATGGAAGGCAAGCAATCAGCAAACAGGATACCATCCAATATTTTCTTATAAGTCTCCTACTAAATTCCATAAAAAGTACTTCTTGTGCTCTTATCAGTTTATTTAGGACAAGACAACACTGCTTCCGCTTTGCCCATTTTTGTGCATTTAACAGTAAACACTCAGCAGATGGAGTTTTCTAGTACGGAGCTGAAGTAACAGAGAAAGCTTACATTAGTTTATATGCAACCTGACTGCTCTTAAAAGCACAGAAGCAGGGCCAGTAAATTAGATGGCACCCCTACGTAACCACATATATTTTTCTGCAACTCAGTAATATGCACACTATGTAAACAAAGTTAAAGACACCGTCACAATGGCAACCAAGGTTCATTAATATTTTTAAATTCTAACTCAAGTCACTTTAATTTCAAATTTATTTATCAGTATTTATTTATTATTTCAATTTATATCTCACTTATCAACATATAACATCTAAAGCAGCTTTTCTGTAAAGAAAAGAAGTGTTTTTATGGTATCAAAAAAATGGAACTAAGAACAATCGAGTTTTGGAGCTATGTTCTTTTGGCAAGTGTGCTAGTAAGCACAACAGAATTATTACAAGTTTTTGAAAATCTATTAATAGTTGTATCCCATTGTTTATAAACTTTACCTTGAATTCCATTCGATCTTCTTCTTTTGGTCAAGACTGCTAAAACCAGAAGTTACACGTGCAGAAATCCAAGAACTTAGCACGTGGAAGAGAAGTTGAGATATAGCAAAACTGCTAACAGCAACACCCAAATTGAGTTTACTGAAGGCAGACATCATTCTTCAGCCTGTTAAGGGAAGAAGGGGGGGGTCCTTAATTCAGGCATGGATTGTCAATGGAGCAAAACAACAATCATGTCAGTTTAAATAACAACATGAAACACAGAAGCTACAACTCTCAACAGCCATGGGTAGAAGAGAAGCAAGCATGCATAAAGCTGGAGGTGTCCAGCAGGGTGATTGGGCTCTACTAAAGAAAAACACCTTTTGCTGCATACACGTTTGTCCCCTGCTCACAGTCCAGCTTTCTTGAATTGCAACTATAGTTTTAAAACCTTTCTAATACCACACTAAATAGATTGGCCCTGACCTCTCAAGTTATGCCAGCTGGGCAAGGGATATGATTTTCACTACATCCTCTACACCAGGATAACTCAAAAGTAATAGTTATGACAGTGCAGTGTCATCATTGTGCCATCATAACTTCAAGTCAGCCAGCTACACGGTTGTAACTGTGACAGCATAAGGGAGGGAAAGGAAGGGAGTTGAAGAGGAGTGCCCAGGTAAGTCAGAACTAGGGTTGCCATGTGTCCTCTTTTTCCCAGAACACGCCCTCTTTTTGGGTGGTAAAATTTGGGACAAATTGCATTTATTTGCTTTCAATGGCTGCCATAGTGTCCTCTCTTTTGCTTTTCAAAATATGGCAACCCTACTTGGAAACTTGTCCTTCTCCAGGGCTAGGTCCAGTCTCCCCACAACACTGATGTGAACTAATGGCAGCAAAATACAAACACAAAAGAAGAATTCAAGGCAGTGATGGCCAAACCTGGCCCTCCAGCTGTTTGGGGACTACAACTCTCATCATCCCTAGCTAACAGGACCAGTGGTCAGGAATGATTGGAATTGTAGTCCCAAAACAGCTGGAGGGCTAAGTTTGGCCATCACTGATTCAAGGCAACAAACCCCAAAGCCACAGAAGACAAAATACTAGCTCAGTAGCCAATCACAAGACTTTCCCAGGAACACAAACTAGGAGAACATAAAACAACACCTACAGCCTGCAGCCACATCACTCTGTCCCCATGTAGTTTGGACAAGGAAAATACAAGTGGAGTTCCCCAAATGCCGTTGGTGACCACCTCACACTCATAACTCATTTTTCCTTGCAGAATATGAAACAAGGCACACTGAGTAAAATGAAGAGAAGTGAGACACATCGTTTGACTCAGTGTTCGAAATTCCCCAAGTGTCAGGCACGTTTTACTACTGGCGCAGGTCCAATTGCGACTACGTGGAGATTACTGGACAACAGGTTGGCGACCATGGTTTAAAAAACCTCTGCCGTAGTCCATTGCTAATACCATTTTCCATTTCCACTGTGTGTTTTTCCTCCTCCTTGCATGCTAGGACAAGTGAATTGCTGTAAGAGCAAGCAATGTTGTTGAGATCATAGAATCATAGAACTGTAGTGTTGGAAGGGACCCCAAGGGTCAGCGAGTCCAACTCCCTGGTGAGTAGACATTCCGTTGTGGCGACCGTAACCTAGGTTTAAGGTGCCATTTGGTGTCTAACTTATATATCCGAGTTTCTAAGCCTATTTGTTCTAGAGGTACAGAGTGTTAACTGCATTTCATAAAGCTAAATGTTGTCCTGCATGAACCGAAAGTGCATCCTAGGATACACCCAACACTCTCAAGTGGTTGTAAATTACAGGGTAGGATCAATAGTGATGTGAAGGAACCTCCATTACTGGTCTTATTGGTGAAGCTTAATAAACCTCCAGAAAAGCCCAAGGTTCCCTATAACACTTTGAAAATCCCTGGTGCAGATTAAAAGCACTTCATAAGAACCAGGCTTAGACCTATAAAAAACAGAGTCTATAACTTGGAAGAGTATCTATGCTTTACATTAAATATGTTAACAGACAATATTTTGTGCAGCCTACCAAAACGGTGTTGTATCAATTAGCCATAACCCCGAGAGACTAGATCACAACCCTGTAGACAATTTCTAATTTCAGCAGGAAATCAAATGAGGTTCTTTGGGGGGAAATTTACAGACGTTATTAAGAAACAATTTCCAAAGAGTGTTGACAAATGAGATAATGTTTTTTCAAGGTGCATTGATTTAATCTGCTAGGCAAAGCAAACAAAATCTCGAACACACATGATTGTGTTTAGCTCATGTTCAAAGTATATGATTCAAAACCATAAAACAAAGTTTGGAGCACATATCCTTATGTGGGATGTATCCTTAGCAATTCCGTGCTAAGAGACCACTTTTTAGCCATTTCTGTTTTTACCATTTTGCCAATTCCCCATGCAAACCTGATGGCAAGATTGAACTGAAAATAATTAATAGATCTAGCATGAATTGCCACTGAGTGGATCCAGTCTGCTTTTTAAAACTAAGGGATGATTTAGTAATTATAAAGTCATGGTCTATCCAGCTATAATCAGTAAAAGGTAAAGGGAGCCCTGACCATTAGGTCCAGTCGTGGCTGACTCTGGGGTTGTGGCGCTCATCTCGCTTTATTGGGCGAGGGAGCCGGTGTATAGCTTCCAGGTCATGGGGCCAGCACGACTAAGCCGCTTCTGGCGAACCAGAGCAGCGCACGGAAACGCCGTTTACCTTCCCACCAGAGCGGTACCTATTTATCTACTTGCACTTTGATGTGCTTTCGAACTGCTAGGTTGGCAGGAGCAGGGACCGAGGAAGGGGAGCTCACCCCATCGCGGGGATTCGAACCACCCACCTTCTGCTCGGCAAGTCCTAGGCTCTATGGTTTAACCCACAGCGTCACCCGCGTCCCAATATTCCCAATTAATTAATTAATGCCACCAATATTCTCCCTAAGCTAATGGCTTCCTGTTGATCCATAAAACCAGAAGCTGAAATATATGTGCAGAAGCAGCCTTCTGTACATTTTTTCCCTTCTGAATTGTTTCTCCCAAATGCAAAATGATGCTATACAGGCAGTTTATTTTGTTAGTGCCCTGTGCACCTTTACTGTGCACCAGTTCTGTTTGTTTGAACAAATGCTTATTTCCAATCCTATCGAGCAACACTACACCAATAACATTAGACATGTACCATTTTTAAACTATAGACTACAGTAATACCTTTAAATATTATTAACACTTAGAATCTCTAGTAAGCACAGATTTTTAACTATCTACCAAAAGCAGCCATTTCTTTTGTTCCAGAGTGCTTATGAATGAACTGTAACACTGTAACCCTATGCATAATTAGGCTGCAGTCCTATATATACTTACCTGAGTGCATGTCCTATTGAATTTACTGGGGCTTACTTCTGAGTAGATATGTATAGGATTGCACTTAAGTTTCAAAAAGAGTCTAGTAGCGGTGGAGACATTTACTTCCAAATAAATATGAGTAGGATTAGGCTGCAAAAGTTACACAAAAAATCAAAGGCAATGTTAAACCTATACCTAATATTCCAACTCCATATCATTGTACAATTATTTTGAGCTATGGTACTTTCATGCAAGGGACGCGGGTGGCGCTGTGGGTAAAAGCCTCAGCGCCTAGGGCTTGCCGATCGAAAGGTCGGCGGTTCGAATCCCCGCGGCGGGGTGCGCTCCCGTTGCTCGGTCCCAGCGCCTGCCAACCTAGCAGTTCGAAAGCACCCCCAGGTGCAAGTAGATAAATAGGGACCACTTACTGGCGGGAAGGTAAACGGCGTTTCCGTGTGCTGCGCTGGCTCGCCAGATGCAGCTTTGTCACGCTGGCCACGTGACCCGGAAGTGTCTGCGGACAGCGCTGGCCCCCGGCCTATAGAGTGAGATGGGCGCACAACCCTAGAGTCTGTCAAGACTGGCACGTACGGGCAGGGGTACCTTTACCTTTTTATTAGGTGGGTAAAGGTTGTCACTCCTGACTTATGTACTGAAATAGTCCATGGCCATTCTCTAAATGACTTCTGGACCTCTCAACATGCACTTCCTCTGGGGCAACAAAATACAAAGATAATAGGAAATTGTCAAACTCAGCCATTTCAAAATACAGTTTCAAGTTTTGCCACTGCTTTTCGTAGTGATAGATACAACATCTCTCATACACACAACTTCCATACCCACTCTAATTCAATGATAATTAATAATCAGGTGTTTCCATCCCAAGGTCCTTGCATAGATTATACATACATAAACTGTTAAGTGTATAAAAACTGAGAATGAATCCTGGTAAGGCAGAAATATGCTGAGTAGGTGGTAAACAACCTGTTTTAGACAGGACTGCACTACCTGTGAAAGAGCAGGTTCATAGTCTAGGGATACTCCAAGAAACAGGATTGCCACTTGATGCCCAGAAACCATGAGTGGCATTAAGTTATTTCCTGCCCAGCTACTGCTGGTTCACCAGCTGTGGCCATTTCTTGACTGACACAGCCTCACCAAAGTAACCTACCCTCTGATCATCTCCAGTTTCGTTTATTATCCTGTGATCTACATGGGGCTACCCTTGAAGACTGTTCAGAAGCTACAACTAGTACAGAATGTGGCAGCCCAAGAGCCAAGTGGGGTGGCTTATTGTAACCATACAACAGTAGTTTTATGAGAGTAGCACTGGTTGCTACTGCTGCTATGCCCAACTCAAGGTGTTGCTGTTGACATATCAAAACCATGAACAAAAGACTTGAAGGAACACCTGTCCCAGCATCAACCTGCCTGGGCCCAGAGATCTGTAGGAACGATATTTCCGGGGGCCCATCATAGTTGATCTATCATGACACCTTCTATGTGGTGGCACCCCAGTGATGGAACTCCCCTCCCATTCAAAATGCTACTCTACACTTTTTAATGGTAATTGAAGCTGTATCTCTTCACCAAAGTTTCTGGTGCAGTCAATCAGTGTTGCCCTTGTTTACATTATCTCCTAGCACCTGCTTATTGCCAGCATTTCAGGTTCCCAAAGATGCCTTAATTATAGGGAACTCCATATGCACTGCAGATTAGAAGCAATATAATTCCTGAGGAAATTCACATATATTTTAAACCTTAAAGCAGCCTATGCACACACTTACCTGAGAGTAAGCCCCAGTAGGAATTATTCCTAAGTAACCATATATAGACATAGATAGCTGTACTGGACTTTTACATATGAAGAGCAAAGGAGAATGATATTAACAAAGAAACAGAAATAGAAGAGTCCCCCCCCAATTGATTCAAACAAATATAAAACTAGTAAGAGATTAGCATCAAAAGACCCATGTGGAATTAGTATATAGAAAGCAGCAAGGCAATACTCAATTATGGCAGCAGTGATAGAAAATATTTTCTCACTTGGAAAGCTGAAACTTGAAGGCAGCACTTCAGTAACAGGCTTGACACAGAAAAGTAAATAGGCTACAATAATACTAGTGTGGCTTGACTGACCAGACACTAAGTATTCTACAGCTCCACTAAATTATACCACATAATAGATAAGGATTTAAATACTGCCTTTGAGAACTATGGCATTCTCTCGAGGCAGATCAAAATAACACTCATAAAACAGATTCAAAAATAAAATGCATAGTAATAACCACATAGAAACCAGAAATCAAATGACAGCAAAGACTAAAATTACAAGCGCATTATGAATCAGTAAAAAGTTGGTGTAAACAACCAGATTATTAAAGGGTACAGTGGTACCTTGGGTTAAGAACTTAATTCGTTCTGGAGGTCCATTCTTAACCTGAAACTGTTCTTAACCTGAGGTACCACTTTAGCTAATGGGGCCTCCCGCTGCTGCCGTGCCACCACCACGCAATTTCTGTTCTCATCCTGAAGCAAAGTTCTTAACCCGAGGTACTATTTCTAGGTTAGCGGAGTCTGTAACCTGAAGCGTCTGTAACCCAAGGTACCACTGTACTTAAAAGCAGGTAATTAGGGAAACAGAAACAGTTACTGTGGAGCCACAAGGCTTGACAACCTGACAAACCTTATGGGTAAATCCAAGAGCAGGGCCTCCACAGCCAATCTTAAAGCATGCTGCAGATAGTCCCTTAAATAACCTGACCCCAAGCTGTTTAGGCTTTTAAAAAGGTAACATCTAGCATTTGAAATTGAGCTTGGAAGTGCACTGGGAGCCAGTGCAGCTGGAGCAGAATCGGTGTTGCAGGCTCTTATCACATGGCCTTCACACCTCTTGTCACACTCTCAAGGTATGCATCTGGCCCTTCAAAAGAAGTGTAACCCAATACAACACCAGTGGACACAACCTTCACCCAGATCACATTTCTCCACCCACATTACACCTGTCTTATCTGATCTAAATGCCAGCTTGTTTGCCCTCAGCCATCTCATGCTACCTCCAGACACTGTTCAAGACTTCCGCAGCTTCCCTGGGACAAGCAGGTGATGACACAGCAGCCTTTGGCACAAACTTGGGAAGCAGTAAATAGCAGTTTGAGCAACACCAGCAGGAAGTGGGAGGATGTACCTTCTATCATTATTAACGTGTTGTGTGCTGGATGAAGACTAGTAAGGGCTGAGGTTCAAATCGCCATTCAGTGAGGAACAGGTGAATGACCTCAGGCCAACCATCAAACTCTCAGCCCAAACTACTTTACACTGCAAGTACAAAATGTGAGTGGGGAGAACCATGAGCTCCTCAGAGGAAAGGCATGATATAAACAAGTTCAAACCTCTGGGTCAGTTCAGCCAACAGCTTCATTTAGATGCTGAAAAGCACGGGAAATAAGATGGAATCCTGAAGCACCCAAAAGGCCACAGGGTGGAGCAGGTGTCTCTCAGCCCTACTTTCTGGGCTTGCCCCTCTAGAAATGGCTCCCAATTCCAGAAGGAAACCATAGTCAATGGAATCCAAGGCTATTGAGCGATCCAGGAGAACTAACAGCATATGCATGCAAACCTGGTCCTGTTCCTAGCCATCGATCCACCAGTGTGCGAGGCTGTTTCGTCCCGTCTAGGTCAGAATCCGGCTGGGAATGGCTCCCAAGCATCCGCTTATCCGCTACTCTTGGAGTGCCCAGGAAGCGGGTCTCCCACTTGTATAATCTGCTACTTACTTGAGGTTATGGACCACAGTGAAGTTTACGGCACTCCATAGATTAATGATGTACAACTGAAGTCATGCAAAAATCTGTCGCCCGTAACTGTAAGTGTAAGCATTCACACCTTTGATAGGCCTTCTGGGAAATGATCTATAATGAAATCAAAAAGGTACTCAATGTACCTTTCCTAAAAAACCAGAGGCCTTTCTCTTGGGCATTGTCGGCCAATTGGTGACAAAGAGGGATAGAACTTTCTTTATGTACGCTACAACAGCAGCAAGAATACTCATCGCAAAGTATTGGAAGACACAAGATCTACCCACTCTGGAAGAATGGCAGATGAAAGTGATGGACTATATGACATTGGCCGAGATGACAGGCAGAATCCGTGACCAACGAAAAGAGACGGTGGAAGAAGAATGGAGAAAATTTAAAAGTTATCTTAAGGACTACTATAAACTTAATGAATGCTAAAATGTTGTGGTTTCCAGAAACAAAGGGATACAGGGATATAAGGTTAGAAATATAAAAGAGGACTAAGATGACAGAGATTGGAAAGTAACAATTGGGAGTTGCTAGTTGAATTATGGACATTGGGATGCAGAGAGGGGGGGTATGGGGAAGTCAAAGGAAAGAGGTATATGAAAATATGTTTGAAACTATTCGTGTATGTTTGTCTTTTTTGGTGTTTGTTTGTTTTTCTTAAAAAGTTTCTAAAACCAATAAAAATTTTATAAAAAAAAAAAAAATAAAAGCATTGAAGTCCAAAAGTGTAAGAAGTCTGGGCCGAATCTTTGGTGCATTGTTTCAAAGCGGACAGGCCACTTTCACAACAGCGAAACAGCAGCACAGCCTAAGCTACAGTTAACACTCAATTTGAGGTTGGTACCTGGGCCCTCTCTCCTTGTTTACAGGGGTACCAACTTTAATAAAATATGGGGGAGTGGCAAATAGGCCCCACCACACACAATTGATGGCATGACACGGCACACATACACACCATTTGAATGGCAATGCCCATCACCTTTTTTGAGGGGGGCAGCCCCCTCAAATATTTTATTGGGGCTGCAGAAGGGACCTTGTCCCCTAAGCGCTGGCTCCTATGCGTCAGTTATCTTTGTCCTTATTAATTCAACCAGATTCCTGGTCCTCCCCTTTTCTCGTTTCTTCTTCAGCAGCGCCCCATTTTCAGTCCCCAGAAGAAAGGGAGGAAACCAAAGTCTGGCATGGTGCTGGGAATAGGAAAGAAAAGAGGGGCCTGAAGAAGAGGGATCTCCTTGCAGACTCCCCGCTCCCCCACCCACCCCGAGACTCCCTCACCTTTTCACCCGCGCGCTCCCGATCCATCAATTGCAGGTTCTCCTCCTTCCCTTAGCCACGCAACGCATTGGGGAGCGGGGCGGTGTGTATGTGTGTGTGTGTGTGTGTCGTGCGCGGAAAGGAAAGGTTGCCACGGCATTTCACCTCCCTCTCCGGCGGCGCTGCGCGACTGGCGCGCATCCTCACCTGCGCCCCGAAGGCTCCCCTCTGCCTTTAATAAGCCCTATAGTACTCGCCCAGAAGCGCGCCGCGCACCAGTGTCTGCAGCCGCGCCGAGAGAAAGGCGGCATCCCCGGACACGCCACGCAAGGGGCCTACGCGCCCGACACACGACCCGGTGCCCAGACACGTCTTCTCCCGTTTCTCGATGGGAGAAGCAGTCCCCCCCCCCCCGCTGCTCACCTGAAGTCTCACCGCGGCCGGCCGGGCGGCCCTGCCATAACCTCCTGGCGGGTCCCTGCGGCGGGGGAAAAGCCCCTCACACGCCCACGCGGCGCGGCTTCTCCGGCGGAAACGGCCTCCTCCGCTGCTGCTCTTGCTGCTGCTACTGCGGCAGCCGCGACAGGCGCCCACTGCGGGATCGCGTTACGCCGGCCTCAGCCTTAAAGGGGCCGCCGAACCGCCGCCGCCGCCTCGACGTTCCCAGTTGCCGCAGGGCGGGAAGGGGGAAGCCGGCCAGCCAGCCAGCCGCTCTCACCGCCGCCTCCTGGTCGCCCGCCGAGCGCCCGCGGCGAGAAGCAAGAAGCAAGCCTGCCTCGCCGGCCGGCCGGCTCCAAAAGGCAAGCAGGCAGGCGGCAGAGGCGGCCACCTGCCTCCCACCGAAGGGCACTTGCTTGCGGGTTGTTGATGTGGGAAACGCCCCCCCCCCCTTTGCAGACGGGGCAGGAGGCGGGAGTTGGAGATGGACTCAGAAAAATCCACACCCCGCCCCCAAATATTTCATTTTCTGGATGGAGGGCCTGGAGATTTCTCACATGTATTATGAAGAAGGTAACCCTTTTGCTTCCCTCTCCCCATACTGTCGAGGATGCGTGCGCCCCAACCCCAAAATTCACTGCTTGTTTCCCACCCTTACAAAAAACCTTATCGCCCCTGTTGTTTGAGAGCCAGCTGGGATTCATAGGCGGGATTTTATGCCCATTTGGCAAAGCCAGTTTGTCACCACATGTTAGATTCCCATATTTCCTCCACAAGGCCGTGTGCATCAGGGTTGGCTAACTTGGGACCCTTCACATTTTGCTGGACTACAATTCCCATCACCCCGACCATCTGGAGCTGATGGGAGTTGTATTCCAGCACTGGCGGAAGGGCATCACATCACCCACCCCTGAAGTATATGGTATTCCCTTCAACCACCTGCCATTTTATCTTCACAACCATCTTGTGAGGTAGTTTAGGCTGAACTCTCAGCCTCACCAGTCCTAGTCTGATAGAATAATAATAATAAAAAATAATTAAAACTCAGCCACTCTGGGCGGCTTCCAACATATAATAAAACATTACACATTAAAAGGCTTCCCCATACAGAGCTGCCTTCAGATGTCATCTAAAGGTTATATACCGTATTGGCCTGAATATAAGCCTCACTTTTTTTCCAAATTCCGACCGTGAAAAGTTAAAGTGCGGCTTAAATTTGCAACCTTACAAAAATTGGCTTTTATTATATCGCTGCTGAAACAAGACATTCAGTAAAATGGACAGGGATGGTGGTAGTTGTAGTCAAACAACATCTGGAAGGCCACAAGTTCCCATACCTAAACTAAAGTCACTTCCACACCACACATTTAAAGCACACTTATTCCATTTTTAAGAGTCATGGCTTCCCTACCATCACCAAGAATCCTGGGAATTATAGATTGTTAAGGGAACTAAGTTGTTCGGAGACCCTGAAGCTACATTTCCCAGGATGCTTTAGTGAGGAGGGGAGCCATGAATAAGAGTGGCTTTAATGTATGGTGTGGATTTGGCCAAAAGAACTGGTTGCCAACTGGTAGGTTGGAAGCCTTACCTGCAGTACATCTCATACAAATATATGGTCAAAATTAATTGGATCCAGCATCAGGGGCACATTTAGAAATCTTGAGAAACTGTCATAGGCACCACCAATAAATGGCTGGGGGGGTGGGTTGCCTAGTCACAAAATGGCTGCCAAGGAGACCTGCCTTGTCACAAATGACTTCCCAAGAAACTAAGTGCAAGACAAAATTATGAACTGAATCCCAATCCCAAGCCACATATTTGCCACGCAAAAGACAACACAACAAAAGGAAAAGTGATGATGCTCAGAGAAAGATATCCAGTCCAAAAACCATACAGACTCCACCACAAAAGAAACGCACAGGAATAACTCAACCACACACTCCCTCAAACCACACCAGAAACACAAAATCCAGCCACCAACAATGGCCCCCTTGCAAAAGAGAGGCAAATTCCACCACAGAAAATTACAAATAACAGGCAAAATCCACCCCAAAATGCTAGCCACACAGAAAGAAAGAAGCAAAACACCCCCAAAAGGCAAAACAGGCATTATACAAACAAATATGTGTGAGCATGCACATATCAAAAAGCAAGCAGACACCTTCCACCAAAGAGACAAAACACTCCTTCCGTTGCTTACCAAGCAGCAACGGGGTCTCCTTTTCTTTTAAATAAATAAGTTGGCAAGCAGGTGGATAGTTAGGTATTAGCATCCACCTACCCTGCTCTTTCTGCCTTTGCTGAGAAAAGGCATTCTGAAGAAAGGAAGAGGGTGGGGTGGCTGGAGACCCATACTTAGCTTTCCAGCCAATGCAGCACTACCAAGAAGAAATACTTGTAAAATTCCAAAACAAATTAAACATTGGGAGAAGAAGGACTTTCAACAGGAACCAAGTAGGGTGTCTGGAGCGCCACTGTGCCTGTGGGCACCATGTTGGGAACTCCAGATCTGTGAAATATGTAAAGAATGTTGCTTAGGGCAACTATTTTGGCAATTTTAAAGATCACTATCTGCTATTTTGTAAGTTTGTTGAGAGGGGAAGATCTATCTCTTTTATTAACATTGATTTGTAGCACAACCCTAGACATCCCTTGCTTGGAAGAAATTTCCATTAAGTTCATTTATCTGGATGTGTGTACAGGATTACAGCCTTAATGGCTAGATTCACACAGAGAGCTCAACTGCAACTTCTGGTTTAGGGGCTGAAGTGTGTGCTGCGTGTAGCAAATGGTGGCGAAACCAAGATTTTAGCATAACTCTAATTTGGAGGCTGTATTTGTCTATATTGGCAGGAGCAGGGACCGAGCAACGGGAGCTCACCCCGTAGCCAGGATTTGAACCGCCAACCTTCTGATCGGCAAGCCCTAGGCTCTGTGGTTTAGACCACAGTGCACATCAAAGTAGATAAATAGGTACCGCTGCGGCGGGAAGGTAAATGCCGTTTCCGTGCACTGCTCTGGTTCGCCAGAAGCGGCTTACTCATGCTGGCCACGACCCAGAAACTGTATGCTGGCTCCCTCGGCCAGTAAAGCGAGATGAGCGCCGCAACCCCAGAGTCGTCTGCGACTGGACCTAACAGTCAGGGATCCCTTTACCTTTTATTTGTCTATATTATTGCCCAAATACAAACAATAGTAACGAAGATCTGAGATCTTGCAGTTTAGGTCTTTTTTTGGTTTTTTAAAGTAATTTTAATTCAAAATAAATGCAACATGTCTGCATGAAAATAAATAGAGCATAATACCTGTTTATACATCTATGTCTGTCTGTCTGTCTGTCTGTCTGTCTGTCTATCTATCTACATATATAGGTGTATGTCCATTCCTATCTATCTATCTACATATATAGGTGTATGTCCATTCCTGTAACATATGGAAAATGAACTGTATTGGAATTAGGGCAAGTTTTAAATGTTTATACACTCAAATAACTTAATTCCAAATGAAAACATGGCCTGATCTAGATTTGCTGCTTCCTGCCCTGCCCTGCCCCCGGCAGATACACTACTTTGCACAATTATAGCTGAATACTGTACTGTTAACTATGAGTTACCTTTGCTGAACTGGAGTGACTTTTCACTCCACGCACAACTGCTGTCTCCCCATCCTCTTTTAGAAATAATGCAGCATACAAGATGTTTGCCTTTTGATTCAGACAGGGCCATCTGCCTGCCTTGAATATTCTCAGACTCGAAATGTGTCACTATAGTGAATGAATTTTAATTTATTTCTAGGTACAGTACATGCACACACACAGACACACATCACAAAGCAAATTAATTTTTTAAAAAACAGATAACCTATACTGACAGCATTACTTTCTCAGTAATGAAAATTGTATAAAATTATTACATGGAAAGGGTAACCTTGCACAAGAAACTTTGGCAAAACTTCACTGAAACTATGTTTATTCAAGCCTACATCCCGTAGCCTTAAGGAGAGGTCAACTCCCTCCCAGGTTTCTGGACACCATGCTAAGATGGCCATCTTCTGGAGAGCTTTTGAGTTGCCCTTAATATCTAATTTTTATGTTTCTGATTAATGTTGCAATGTTTCTACTGATTAGTTCTTAGGAGGTATTTTGGGTTTTTTTAATGTAACTTTTATATGATTTTATGTTTAATATATCTTATCATCTATCTTGAAGAGTTTGTCTGAATAAATAAATGGTAGAAGGAAAACAATGCAAACCAAAGCTTTATTGATCTGGACTCAATACACCAATCATCTGTATTCTGGCACTCTACACAATCATGAAGTTTAGAATTACATCAATTAGAAAATCCTTGTGTTGGTAAATACAAAAAACACCAAACATACCAATAAAGAAAACATTTTATCAAGTTAACCTGCTTACATCACCATATAATTCTTATCAATAACACAGCTCATGGTCTGTACCTATATATAGTATATTTACAGTGGAACCTCGGTTGTCGAACGCAATCCATTCCGAAAGACTGTTTAACTTCCAACAACTGAGGCGCAATGGGCTGTCAGCAAGTTCTATGGGGGAAATTGAGAAAGTCGTTCAACTTCTGAGGCACGTTTGAAAACGGAAGCAATTCCGTGTTTTCGGCATTTGGCTTCCGAATTGTTCGGCTTCTGAGAGGCTTGAAAACCAAGGTTCCACTGTGTGTGTGTGTGTGTGTGTATAAAATAAAATTTATACACCATGATGCACAGCACAATTTACAAAAAGATGGAGCAATGAAGTCAAGAAAAATTAAAAACTTAAAACATACAAAAGTATAAATAAGTATTTTTGTACATTTATAAGCACTGTTGTATCTTTATATTTGCTGGTTACTTTGGAGAACCTGGGGTGTATCATACACATATAGTATTAAAAAGGTAAAGGTACCCCTGCCCGTACGGGCCAGTCTTGACAGACTCTAGGGTTGTGCGCCCATCTCAAGAGGCCGGGGGCCAGCGCTGTCCGGAGATACTTCCGGGTCATGTGGCCAGTGTGACATCGCTGCTCTGGCGAGCCAGAGCTGCACACGGAAACGCCGTTTACCTTCCCGCTAGTAAGCGGTCCCTATTTATCTACTTGCACCCGGGGGTGCTTTCGAACTGCTAGGCTGGCAGGCGCTGGGACAGAGCAACGGGAGCGCACCCCGCCGCGGGGATTCGAACCGCCGACCTTTCGATCGGCAAGCCCTAGGCGCTGAGGCTTTTACCCACAGCACCACCCACGTCCCACATATAGTATTATATGTATATTAATGCTGATAATATGCTAGAATTGTTTGCATTTTTACTGGAAGCAGGGTGGCGGGTTTTCTGCTTCTTTTGTAAACCACACTATGACCATTTTTGGTATAGACTAGCCTAGATAAATAAATTATTCTTGAAGGCTATGGTCAGGAAGGGAATTGATGAGTGAAGCCTTTGTGCATTTTTTATAAGCCTCAGCACCCTCTGCATATTCAAGTGGCATCAGATACAAATAGGTTAGATAAAAGCGAAATCGAGATATATTTGCAATGGTTTAAAACAAAACAAAAAGCAGGGAACAGACACAACAAGGCACTAAACTGAAAAGAAATCTCAACCTTTTCCTCATTCCCACCCTTCTGGGTAATTCCATAACCGATACATTTATAAACAGCTTTGTACAAGAGCATGCAATAATGGGCAGGTGCTCAGACACACACCCCACCTGATAGTGAAGTGGATAAATATCAAGGCAGCCAATGATATAAAGAGATGTCAAAGAATTCCAGCAGAAATGGCAGTGGAAATTGCCAGTGCCTACATATTCATCTCATGTCTGGAAAGGAAATCAATCCAGTGAATTCAACTGGTATTCACTGTGTTGTTTTCAGTCTGCAAATAATAGGGATAGGTAATTGATGACACATTTGCATTGTCTTTTCTTTTGCATTATGTTTCTCCATCAGAGAAGTCAGAAAATCCTACAGATATGGTAGATACCAAAAGCGATCTCTGCCCAAGCATTTTATGGACTAGCTTTACATTGTGCTTCCCAAGTACATAGGTTTTTGTAGACTTCAGCTTAAAACTATGTAATTGAACATCAAGAACCCAAGTTATGACTACTCACCTCAATAATGGGCTGATTTTCCAGTCTGAAGAGTATCCAAAATCTCCCAGAAGCCTTGCTGTGAATATGTGGTTATTCTGTACTTCTCAGAATGCAACACTGCCACTTCTGCTTGCTTCCTAATAAAAATAAGGTCAGGTTGCTTTACTCAAGAGAGAACATGCCAGGCCCAGAAACCTAGCAATTACATCACACTGTAATATGTAATCACATAGCCATAATCTGAGGATTTAACAAACCCTTACATGCTTTGTTTGTATTTTGTTCAACTGCCACACCCAACCTGCTTCCAGGCTATCATAACATCCTGTGCTTTACTCTCACCGTCCCAGACATGGTGCAAGAAATCCATACCACTTTTTAAACTCCGCAAGCAAACAGACATTAAAATTCATGCCACATCAAATAGCAATTTATAATTGCTTCTCAGCCTTCTGGCTAAAATCAAAGTATCTGTTCTTATCAGTTGAATATGTAATACAGTATGTTCTCTATGTAAGGACACAGTGTGAATCCAATTTTGGAACCAGGAGTTGGATACGAGGCTTGGTCCACCCACGACATGCATTGACCTGATATTGCAGGGCCCAGTGCAATTTCCTTTTTGGTTTAGGAACAGGTGAGTGAGTTCTTTAACTGTTTTCCATTCTCATCAATGACCGAAATAAATTGATTCATTCATTAACTTGTTTCCACAAGTATGTTACAAAAGTTTTTTGTTTTTTTTTAAAGTTGGCGTAAACATACAGATTAGATTAGCAATTGACACGTTTTCCTTTTTCCCCCATGTTGGAGTTTTGTAGTAATTGTTCCTCCATTTCTTTGTTCTTTATGACAGCCATCTTCAAAGGGCCACCACATGCAAGATGGATCAAGCTTGTTTTCTCCTGTTTTGGGAGCTAGGATCCATGGCTTATTCACACCTCCATTTCCCCTGCTGCTTTCCCTCAGGGAAACCCAATCTGTAGAGCTGAATTGGAACAAACAGCAATTGGGCTTTCTGTGGATTGCCATTTGTTCTGATTTAGCACTAAAGAGCAGATTTTCAAGGGGAAAGTAGTGGGGTAAAGGCAAAACTGCTCAGACTCGTGCCTAGAATGCACTGGACCAGTGGAAAATTGCTTGGACCCATGCTTTCTAGGCACTGGACAAGCAGAAGTGTGATCAAGCCTTAAATTGTTGTACTTCACATGATTATAATGAAGATTTGTTAGAAATGGCCTAGCATTGATGTAACTTTGACTTCTTAATTCTGAGGTTGTATAGTGCTTAATATTAGCAGCAGGGTAATAAGTCTGGGGGGACACGGGTGGCGCTGTGGGTTAAACCACAGAGCCTAGGACTTGCTGATCGGAAGGTCAGTGGTTCGAATCCCCGCGACGGGGTGAGCTCCCGTTGCTTGGTCCCTGCTCCTGCCAACCTAGCAGTTCGAAAGCACGTCAAAGTGCAAGTAGATAAATAGGTACCGCTCCAGTGGGAAGGTAAACATCATTTCTGTGTGCTGCTCTGGTTCGCCAGAAGCGGCTTAGTCATGCTGGCCACATGACCCAGAAGCTGTTCGCCGGCTCCCTCGGCCAATAAAGCAAGATGAGTGCCGCAACCCCAGAGTCGGCCACGACTGGACCAAATGGTCAGGGGTCCCTTTACTTTTACTTTAATAGGTCTGAGACTTTCTTGTGATGAGCTATCCTGTCTGGCCTGCACATGGAGTCTTCACTTAACTACCATGGCTATAAGATGTTAATCAGCTATCCTTCATCAATTTATCAAATTCTCCGTCAAAAGTCATTTAAGCTAGCAAAAAGGTAAAGGTACCCCTGCCCGTACGGGCCAGTCTTGACAGACTCTAGGGTTGTGCGCCCATCTCAAGAGGCCGGGGGCCAGCGCTGTCCGGAGACACTTCCGGGTCACGTGGCCAGCGTGACATCGCTGCTCTGGCAAGCCAGAGCCGCACACGGAAACGCCGTTTACCTTCCCGCTAGTAAGCGGTCCCTATTTATCTACTTGCACCCGGGGGTGCTTTCGAACTGCTAGGTTGGCAGGCGCTGGGACCGAACAACGGGAGCGCACCCCGCCGCAGGGATTCGAACCGCCGATCGAGCCCTAGGCGCTGAGGCTTTTACCCACAGCGCCACCCGCGTCCCCCACATATTGTGCTACAGAATTTCCACTGTGAGAAGATGCACTTCCTTTTCTCTACCCCGAACCTACTACTAACTAACTTAAAGCAGTATTACCAAATAGTATTATAAGATAAGAGAAAAATATTGTCTCTATTCATTGGCCCAGTTTGCACATAACGTTAAAACAATGATTTAGTGTAATGAGGACAAGCTCTGCCTCTCCTCCTGGGAGAGTTTCTGCATTAACCACAGTTTAACATTACATTAACCCTAAACTAATATTAATCTTAACTACAGTATGTTGAAACAAGCCAGCTTCTTAAACTATACAGTGGTGCCTCGCAAGACGAAATTAATTCGTTCCGCAAGTTTTTTCTTCTTGCAAGTTTTTCGTCTTGCGAAGCACGGTTTCCCATAGGAATGCATTGAAAATCAATTAATGCGTTCCTAGGGAAACCGACTTCAGACCAGGTCCGGGGACAGTCTTCTGAAGGCCGGCGGGGGCAAAAGTCTTTGCTCCCCCTGCCTGCTTTCCTGGGAGAGCGGAGAAAGGCAGCGCGAGAAGTCCCCCGCTGTCCCGGGGTTTTTAAAAAACCTCTCCGCCCCCCCCCCGCCAGGCTTCGGAGCAGCCTTCCGAAGCCTGGCGGCGGGAGGAGGTCCGAGGACAGTGGGGAAGAGGCGCTGCGCTTCCCCACTGTCCCGGAGATTTCCCTATGGGCTTTCGTCTTGCGAAGGAAGCCCATAGGGAAATTCATTTTGCGAAGCGCCTCTGCGACGGAAAACCCTTTCGTCTAGCGGGTTTTCCGTCTTGCGAGGCGTTCGTCTTGCGGGGCACCACTGTACCTTGAAGTTAGTGTCTTTCTGCCAGAGTTTGCTCAGATACAGATGACACAGCAAGCTGCAGTTAATGAACAAAAGCAAAAGCTTCCAACCTCCTAATGGCTGAACCAGAGGAGGAGTGAGGTACAAGCCCAAGGCTTATCTAGGATCATCCTCATCCTATTAAATCAGGAGTGAGAAACATGTGGCCCACCAAATGCTGTTGAACTCCCAATCCCCTGCAACCCCAGCCTGAATGGCTGATGGTCAGGGACGATCAATGTCACCTGGGGATCACAGAATACACACACTCCATCATGTCTCCACAAACTGTTTACTAAATTAAAATACCATTACATTTTCAAATAATTAACTGTTATCTGCTATTAACTTTGTATATTAAATCAATTGGCCTTTGCTTTCTAGTAGGTGAGGTAAGGACCACTTCGGGAAGCAAAAGTATTCCTTTCTCAGGTCACTACCCAATGCATGCTGCACAGGTAACAACATAATGAACTCAGAGCCAAGTAAGACACTCAGTGGTAGTTTTCTAGACCCTGTTTTTCAGGAATATCCAGTGGGGAAAAGAACAGGACCCCTCCCAGCACTTCAGGCAAGATTAAAATAAATGTGAATACTTTGAGGTAGGCAGCATGGATTATAAATTTAGCTCTACTGAAGTAAATCAGTACCCCCACCTTCTCCGATGTGGTGCTTTTTATGTTTTCAACAACTCCCGTAATATCTGACCACTGGCCATAATGGCTGGGGTGAATGGTAATTGGAATCTAACAACATATGGAGGGCACTAAGTTGGTTCCCATTTATTGCAAGCTTTCTCTCCCCCCCCCCCCGCCCCACTTTTTGTTTTTAAATAAATTTTATTAGAGTTTGGAAAAAGGAATATAAAGATTATTATCTATTATATTGCAAGCTTTCAAAATTGTGAGTTAAGACAGAAACTTACCGTATTTTATTTATGAAAAGGTGCTTTTTTAAAAAAAACGGGGGGCTTTTTGTTGTTGTTAAGAAATGGCATTTATAAGATTTGTGAGGGAAGTCCTTAGAAAAGAACTTTCAGTTAAAAAAATTAAGGTACTACTAGATTCTCCCCTTCTCCTGGCTTCTTTAAAAACAATTGAGAATTGTTTTTCCATGGAATTTTGCAAACTCTACAGATTGCTAACAAAAGAATTTTTTCATGAGCAAATCCTCTCAATTACTACATATGCAGCATTTTCTTCTATAGACAGTGCCACTCAGCTTGTCTGTTATGGAAAGCTCTTTCAGCACATTCTATTTCTAGTTTTTCTCAGTCAGATCCATAGGCATTTGGCAATGAAACAGCTGAACTGATCTCACATGATGCTAGCTTCCAAAAGGCTATTAGTAAGTGCGTACTAGAATCATTATCCCTAGGAGTTTCTTCCATTTCCCCCGCTCAAAAACCATGGCCTCCAAAGGGTATTAATTTAATCCTGAGTTGGGAAACATGCGGCCTTCTACCTCATTTCATAAGATCCTCTGTATTGTTCAGCTGGATGCTATGATTCCATCCCTGGTCTTTGGACCACCCCAATGGGCACCTCCAAGTGGGACGCGGGTGGCGCTGTGGTCTAAACCACAGAGCCTAGGGCTTGCTGATCAGGAGGTTGGCGGTTCGAATCCCTGCGACGGGGTGAGCTCCCGTCGTTCGGTCCCTGCTCCTGCCAACCTAGCAGTTCAAAAGCATGTCAAAGTGCAAGTAGATAAATAGGTACCGCTCTGGTGGGAAGGTAAACAGCATTTCCGTGCGCTGCTCTGGTTCACCAGAAGTGGCTTAGTCATGCTGGCCACATGACCTGGAAGCTGTACGCCGGCTCCCTTGGCCAGTGAAGCGAGATGAGTGCCGAATCCCAGAGTCGGTCACGACTGGACCTAACGCTCAGGGGTCCCTTTTCTTCAAGTACTGCAAGGTGGCGTACATAGCTCAACATCTTTTTATCCTGTGACATAGGTTAGGGTGAAATAATGACTGGCCCAAAGTCATCGAGCAAGCTTCATGGATGAATCAGGATTTGAATTCTGGATTCCAAAGTCTTAGTTGAGGGGTAGGGAATCTTTTTCAGCCATTCCCTTCTGGGTAAAGCTTCTAAGCAGCACATAGCAGGCAGGGCTAGAAGCAAAAGCAGGCTGAGCAATGGATGTGAAAGGTATCTTTGTACGTTGGGCTAGTTTCCAAACACATTCAGACACTTTTCTTTGTTCTCCATCCAAGGAAGCAAGAGGCATTATCAGACTTCAATGGTATGTTCCTGGAATACAAAAACACTCAAAGAGTACTAGGACAAAGCAGTACTAGGACGGAGTATGGCCTGAGGAGAGTCTCCAGAGCCAGATAGAAAAACCTCATCCCTATCCTAGTTAAGCAATATAACCACTTTACCCAACAGTAGTGAGCCAGCTATAAATCACACGGAGCAAGTTGGATTCTTTATTAGAAAAAACAGGATCTGCAACTCATCTCCAAAAGTGGTTGCTGAAACTGAAGGTCCCTGTCTCCCCACAGCTACCTAAGTCCCCTCTTCTCCAGGGTTTCCCCCCAAGCACTCTGAGACTGTGCCTATGTGAAGCTAACTTATCCTCCGCACTCTCCATGCCTCTTGTGGTTCTGGGAGACCAGCAGGCAAGGGAGCTTGTTGCAGCTGGAGGGGGAGACACCCATGACTCTTCACCAGCCTCACTCATCTCTGCCTCTTGTCCCCCCTCCTCCCACTCCAGCCTCTGCCTCCGATTCTGAACTTCTCTCTGCCACCAACTCTCCCAGCTCACTAATCCCTGTTTCCTCTTCAGTGGTCCTTCATAGGAAAAAGGTTCTCCACCTGATTTAATGCACTCCAGGCAGGGCTAGATTTAGGTTTGATGAGGCCCTAAGCTACTGAAGGTAATGGGGCCCTTTATATGTCCAGCTGTCCTTTGTCAACAACAAATTGTCACTTGAATTGAATATATGCTATATGGTAATTTATGGACCTAAAAGATATCTAAAGTCAGTTGCCACTGTTGCTGTATGTAGGTTTTATTTTATTTGTTTTTTATCTTATATTTTAGAAATGTACATCCAGGTTTTTTTCCTTTAAATTTTTTTGGGGGCCCCAAGAGTGTGGGGCCCTAAGCTATAGCTTGTTTAGTTTATACGTAAATCCAGCACTGACTCTAGGAGAGCTTTTCTTCCAATCTGGATGCTACAGCTAAAATGAACTTAATATATAAAGTTTTGCTTTCTTTTGAAAAGTTCCATAATGCAAAAATGTGGTTTCTTTTGCCATGAAAAAGCACTTCAAAGGCAACTTCCTGCTGCTGCTTTGGCAGTGTATGATTTTTGTCAGATGGTGACAAGGGAGAGTCTCAGGTTCAAACCAAGTTTTTAGGGCCCTCGCCCAAAACAAATTAAGGTACAAAAAATAGTCTTGAGAGTCCACATTAAGGTGAAAAGGTAATTTCTGGAGCCATGACCAGACTAACTATATGCTTTGGTTTCATCAAGGTACAGCACACTGACATAATTATTAATAAGTACAGCTTGCATTCTGCAACATGATACCTCCTGGCTTTTGTAATACCATGACTGTGAAAATCACATCACATGTCACCTGGCCGGTTTTCAGACTTGCATTCCTGGCAGGCAATAGAGCTTCTTCTCCCACAATCTAAAGGTGAGCAATATGGAAACATAAATTCATGAAAACAGCTGTGATCACCTGATATCACAAAAACAGTGAATTATGTAGCATCTTAAGACACTGTGCAGCCCAATTCCAAAGCTGTTTATATTTAGTATGGAGTAAGATCCACTGTACTGTAGGACTTTGTTCCCTTTACTCCCTTCCTAGATAGTATGTTTAGGACTGAAGCTTTATTGTGGCATGAAATTTGGGGGACAAGAGCTTAATTCACCAGATGCATGAAACCAACTCTAGGGAAGGAAACTCCTAAGGTGGAAGATCATGTTGCAATAAGGCTGTTGTCTTTGGACAGAAGCAGGGTAGGAAATTATTGTTATTCAAGGTGAACAAGGCTATAGCAAAGAAACACATTAGGGATGTAGGACAGCAAAGGGGCACAGGTTAAACTTTAACCAGGTCTGTGAGACAGTAAAGACGTGTATTGATAGGCAGCAGTGTTTGTCAATTGTGGGGAACCTATGATGAACCACACTTCCATCATCCCCAGTAATTTACCTTGTTGGCTGGGGCTGATGGGAGTTGGGAGTCCAACAGCGGTTAGAGTTTCAGACTAGGACCGGGAGGACCACAGTTCAAATCACCACTTGGCCATGAAGCTCACTGGGTGGTCTTGGGCCAGTCATTGCTTCTCAGCCTCACAGGATTTTTTGTGAGGATTAAATGAGGAGGAAGAGAACCATGCACAGCATCTTGAGAGCCTTGGAGGGGGAAAAGGTAGGACAAAAAATGAGAAAGAGGTGAGATAGAAGATAAATAAAATAAATAAACAGCTGGAGGACCACAGGTTCTCATTACTGAATTTCCTTACTGAAAGGTAAGAATATCTTTTGCTGGACTCAAAACTTCCTCTCCAGATTTAAGGATTTAGGAACAAGTTTTGTCTATTAAAACCAGTGCTTTTTTCCTTAAAAATGTCTAAGGGTACTCTAATTTTGACTCAAGAAAACCACCGTTTTATAGTTACAGGTAGGTAGCTGTGTTGGTCTGCTGTAGTCGAAAAGAAATAAATTAAATTAAATTTTAAAAAATTCCTTCCAGTAGCACCTTAGAGACCAACTAAGTTAGTTATTGATATGCGCTTTCGTGTGCATGAAGAAGTGTGCATGCACACGAAAGCTCATACCAATAACTAACTTAGATGGTCTCTAAGGTGCTACTGGAAGGATTTTTTTATTTTTTTTATATATTTTTTAATTTTTTTGTTTCCACCATTTTATAGTTCAAATCAGGACAAAAGAACAAAGATTCACAAAAAGTTTAGGTGTATGCGTCCCCCCAGGAAAAAAGCACTGATTAAAACACATACTATCAGCATAACTATGGACAGTACAATTCTCACCTACACATTCCTAAACATTCCTGTTTCGAAAATGGAAAAGCTTGCTAGTTCCAGGAAACGTTCCCCTTTTGAAAGAAACACTATCTGCATCTACCTACAGGCGCTGCCTGGAAAAAAAAACCCTAAAAACCCAAAAGAAAACAGGCGGCGGTGTAGACGACTCGCAAGCGATGGGTGTCAAGGCGACGATTAAATATTTTTGAGCTGCTTCGGCTCCCGTAGTCCGCCGCCCTAGCTACTGTCTTCCCCATGGAGTCCTCCTGGGCGACTCTGGGCATCGCAGCTTTCCTTTTCCTCTTGCCGGTTCTCTTCGCCGCGCGGTTCTTCCGAACGAGGCGAGCGCGCGTCCCGCGTAACGCCGCCGTCAGCCTCCTGGTGGTGGCGGGTTCTGGTAAGAAAGAGACGGCGAAGTTTGCCCGCTCCGCGCTTTGTATAGCTAAGCGTGGCCTAGTCCACCCGGACTACAATACCCAGCAAGCACAGCGGCAATCTTTCACGCCCCCACAGCGTTCTTTGGCGCGAGGCATCCTGGGATTTGTAGTTTATACAGTGGGCAGAGGTTTGCATGGATCTGAGGTTCATTTGGTTTCGGGGAACCGCCGCGTGGAGCCTCGAATCAACTTATAAGTCGCCCAGCTATAATGACTAGTTTTAGCTGTGAGAGCGGGTGCAAAGACGGAAAGCATCTTAAAGAACCGTTCTGGCTGCTGTTGAGAGCAAATGCTGGCGCCACGTGCATTGCGGCTATACAGTATTATTATTAATTTATTTATTCCGCCTTTCCCCCAGACAGAGACTCAAGGCAGCTTACAGATAAAATAAGAACAGCGGAAATAAACATTAAAAACAACAACCACACACAATATAATAATATAATATAATATAATATAATAATATATAATATAATAATATAATATAATATAATATAATAATAATATAATATAATATAATATAAACATACAGATAATTACCGTGAAAACAGCACAGCCCTTAAATTCAAAACACTCTGTCACCAAAAACCTGTAGGGATAAGAAGGTCTTCAGCTGCTGGAAGAAGGATAACAAGGAGGGAGCTAGTCTAGCTTCTCTAGGCAGGGAGTTCCAAAGTTGTCCCGGAGCAGGCACAGAGAAGGCCTTATACCACACCCCTACCAAGCATGCCTGTGAGAGTGGCGGGACTGAGAGAAAGGCCTCCCCGGAAGATCTGAGAACTCGGGAAGGTTTGTACGAGGGAATGCAGTCTCAGTTAAGTTGGACCTAAGCCATATAGGACTTTGTAAGTCATAACCAGCACATTGAACAGTGCACAGAAACAGACCATTAGCCAGCTTAGCTGTTGTAACACGGGAGTTGTATGCGGCATTTGTAATGTGCAGCATTTGTGACAGCTGCGTGCTTATGAATGCAGATGTCCCACCACCTTGAAGTCCTTTGCCCTGTAGCGTAAACCTCGTGGCGGATGGCTGACACCCAGCTGCATTTGATGCACAGGTGAACACTTGCAGGTGAAGCGCAAGCTCGTCTCAGTCATTACCATAATATCTGCTCTGAAATAGGGATGTTTATGTCCCGTGGAGCTGTCATAATATGCTTTTAAAGTGTGTGTTGTTCCGTATATAAAGAGTAGGTGTTACAGAAATGGTCCAAAGCACATAGTTGCCCGTGGCAGAAAATTAAAATGCACCAATAACAAGCTAATTAATTTACAAATCAAAATGTCAGGTGAGATGACCACATCAGGAAGCAGCTTTTTATTTAAAAAAATCACTTTCAGGTTTGTTTGTGGGTTTTTAAAACAAAAAACAAGCAGTGTATATATTTTATGAAATAAATGAATGGATTGTGAGTGTGCAGCAGCAAGGTGTGAGAGGATAGCTTTTGGGAAGGGTCACAGCTCGATGGTAGAGCATCTGCTTTACATGAAGAAGGTCCTAGACCAGGGGCCAGCAAACTTTTTCAGCAGAGGGCCGGTCCACTGTCCCTCAGACCTTGTGGGGGGCCTGACTATGTTTTTTTGGGGGGGGAGGAATGAACGAATTCCTATGCTCCACAAATAACCCAGAGATGCATTTTAAATAAAAGCACACATTCTACTCATGTAAAAACACCAGGCAGGCCCCACAAATAACCCAGAGATGCATTTTAAATAAAAGGACACATTCTACTCATGTAAAAACATGCTGATTCCTGGACCGTCTGCAGGCCAGATTTAGAAGGCGATTGGGCTGGATCTGGTCCCCATGTCCTAGGTTCTATCCCTGGAATCTCCAGGTAGGGCTGGTAGAGACCCAGTCTAAAATCCTGGAGTCTGGCTGCCAGTAAGTGTATGAGGCAGCTTCTTATTTGTATATACCATGGAGTTTGCCCTGTGCCCCCCAAATTAGCCTGGTGCGGAGGATACTGTGGTAACAGCCAACTGAATGGCTTCTGTTCATCGAGTGGGGGTGGGGAGGTGTCACCTTGTCCATCATCTCAGGCAGCAAAATCTCATGGGCCAAGCCTACACCAAGGCAGGTGAACTCATGGCATGGCTTACTCTGTGCCAGAGAATGAAGGGGCCGTGTGACTACAGAGTCTTGAGTTTAAAGGATGTAAATTGGGTAGCCAGACCCTTGCACAGCGGTTCATCTAATTGCTATATAGGTGAATATTTTTCCACTTGCGTCTCCTGCTGTTGTGGGGCTTGGATGGGAAAACTGCACCTTACTGAAATTCTCCCTTCAAGATAACTACGAATAGCATGAGAATCCTGCTTCATTTATCTATTCACAGAATGTTTATTTGTTTGTTTATTGCATTTACACCCCACCTTTTTCTCGTAAGGAGCTGAAAACAGCATACAAGGGTTCTCCTCCTCCTCATTTAATCCCCACAACGACCCTGTGAGGTAGGTTAGGCTGAGAGGCGTTGACTGGCCCTAGGTCACCCAGGGAGCTTCATGGCTGAGTGAGGATTCGAACCCTGGTCTCCCAGGTCCTAGTCTGACACCCTAACCACCACCACCCAGTGCTGGCTCTGTGGAGGGAGTCAGCGTAGCAGCAGGGTAAGCTATTGGTTAGTCTCAATAGTGTGGCTCAGTATGAATATACCATTAAATGCAGCAGCATCTGTGTAAAGGGTATTTCTCAATGTTCTACATGCAGAAGGTCCCACATTTAATCCTCAGTGTCCTCCAGACACAACCGGGAGAGACCTTTTTGAAACCCTCCAAGAGCAGCTGTCAATCAGCATAGAGAATACTGAGTGGGATCGATCATAAGAGCATAAGGAAAGCCCTGCTGGATCACGCGAAAGGCTCATTTAGTCCCGAATCCTGTACTCACAGTGGCCATAACCACATGGTTATGAAAGCCCAGATGTTGGACATGAGTGCAAGAGGACTCTCCCCACTCTGAACTAATGTTCAGAAGCAAAACACCTCTGATACTGGAGAAAGTGCACAGCCATCATAACTAGTAGGCATGGGCAGCCTCTTCCTTCATTAATTTGTCCAACACCCTTTAAAGACGTCCAAGTTTCTCTGACTTGGTATGAAGGAGCTTCTTAGGTTCCTAATATATTCCCAATAATTGGTCCCCTTCTAAAACAGACAGCAGCATCGCATTAGTAGAATGCTTCTTGCAAATATAGACAAAGAATGTAAATTTGCCACAGGAAACCCAGTCGGGTGGGGTACAAATAATAAAATTATTAGTAGTAGTAGTAGGAAAAAGAAGTTTGCAAACCTCAAAACAATTTTCTAGTATGTTGTATATATGAATTTTCTTTTAGGAAGGCCCAAGCCATGTATGCGTAACTTTAAAAAAAACAGAAATGAACTAGAGTTGGAGTACATACATATGGAAAACATTTGGCAGTTCAGACATTAGTTGACTGAGAGGGGGAAATGTGAAATGTCTGAAATGAAAAGCACTGTGCTTTGATATGACATGAAAGTTATCTCTGTGGGGTTTGATCTATACCGGCTCAGTCATCAACACACATCAGTCTCCAGTTGATGCTGCAATCATCAGAGTCTTGCAGTTCGCTGATCTCTCACAAGCCACCTTCGCTTTTGTGTTTTTCAGGAGGACACACTACAGAAATCTTGAGGTTACTTAGTAGCCTGTCCCAGACATACTCTCCTAGACATTATGTTTTGGCTGATTCAGACAAAATGAGTGAAGAAAAAATCCGTTCTTTTGAACAACAAAGAGCTGAAACCGCCTCCAATTCCTTGGTAAGTTGTGGCATCTTTATTGATAACTGTTTGTTTATATTTCACGTGCCAAAATGGTGACTTAAATTGCTTATCAGCATGATTTTCATTGGGCTCCATAGCTGTAGCTCTGAGCACTTTGCTTCTCAATTTATCCTGCTGAATTGCCTCTTTATGCTTTTATCTTTATTGAATCTTACCTTTTGCTCACAAACCCAAAAGTTAGCCAAGGGTGAATGTGGCTTTCACTCAGGCCAAAAAAGATTAGCCACCCCTGCTTTAAGATAAGCCCTCGCTGAAATCAGCAAGGCATTTCCAAATAAGCATGTATAGAATTGGGGATTATAATCAATTACTGTTTGTTCTCATTCATAATAATAATAATTCTGTACACAAGGGAGAAATGTGCACACAGTCAGAGGTTTCTTTTTAAAATGTCTGCTGGAAAAGACAAGTTGCTTTTCATTTTTCAGTTTGTACTTTTCCCAGAAAAAAGGGCTTGCCTATCTTCAGGATGTGGCAGAAAGTTCAAAGAGATCTCCAGCCTTTCCTTCTCTTTCCATTGACAGTTTAGGAGCTGCCTGAAAATGCATGAGGGATCATTGGTCATCAATGGACTGCAGGTTTAAGAACCAGTGGTAAAAGTGATCTAAACGTATGAGCTCTGTTTCCCTGTACCTGAGAAGGATTTCATATCAATAAGGGTCTTTTGTCCATTGAGTAGAGTGAAAAATGTGGCACATCTGCCAATGCCATTTGCACAAGCACATCTGCCTGCAGTTCCACTACAATGCGGCTGCAGCACCAGACAAGGCCATGCTTTGTGTTGGCATAGCTGCTGGTAGCCGCATCCTAAACCCTAGGTGTGCTTGCCTAGCAAGCCCTAGTAGGCTCAAGATGTTTGTTGTTGTTTAGTCGTGTCCGACTCTTCGTGACCCCATGGACCAGAGCATGCCAGGCACTCCTGTCTTCCACTGCCTCCCGCAGTTTGGTCAAACTCATGCTGGTAGCTTCGAGAACACTGTCCAACCATCTCGTCCTCTGCCGTCCCCTTCTCCTTGTGCCCTCCATCTTTCCCAACATCAGGGTCTTTCCCAAGGGGTCTTCTCTTTTCATGAGGTGGCCAAAGTATTGGAGCCTCAGCTTCACGATCTGTCCTTCCAGTGAGCACTCAGGGCTGATTTCCTTAAGAATGGATAGGTTTGATCTTCTTGTAGTCCATGGGACTCTCAAGAGTCTCCTCCAGCACCATAATTCAAAAGCATCAATTCTTCGGCGATCAGCCTTCTTAACGGTCCAGCTCTCACTTTCATACATCACTACTGGGAAAACCATAGCTTTAACTATACGGACCTTTGTTGGCAAGGTGATGTCTCTACCTACGGGACCGCCTCTCCTGGTATGTCCCACAGAGAAATCTACGGTCTGCAAATAAAAACATCCTAAAGATCCCAGGCCACAGAGAGGTTAGGCTGGCCTCAACTAGAGCCAGGGCCTTCTCGGCCGCGGCTCCAATCTGGTGGAACGCTCTGTCACAAGAGACTAGGGCCCTGCAGGACCTGACATCCTTCCGCAGGGCCTGCAAGACAGAGCTGTTCCACCAGGCCTTTGGTCAGGGCGCAGCCTGACCCCCTCCTCTGGCAATCGGCAATCTGCACAGAATTTTGCTTGATGGTTGCCATTAATTTGACTTTCATTTGATTTGATTAATTTTATAATGAATGTTTTAGAATGTTGTTAGCCGCCCTGAGCCCAGCTTCGGCAGGGGAGGGCGGGATATAAATAAAATTTATTATTATTATTATTTTTAAGATGCTTTTTAAGATGCTCAGGATGTTACATGCCCTTTCCTAGCTCTGTATGTGACTTCAGCACATGTATGAAACATGGTCAAGCTTTTCCTCACTACAGCTTAGCCAGCAACTCTGTTATAATCAGTTCAGCATGGAAAATAGCCAATTCCCAGCGCATCTTGCGCAATGAAGACAAACTGCGAGCGGGGGGAGGGGCGGGGGAAACAACACAAAGAAATATTTCTCTTTAATCTCTTGCTACATGCAATTATTAACAAAAGTACCAGAAAGAAGGGTGGCATCTGATAGGATCTTTTATAAATGCATGTCAACATACATCTGTTTCCTTTTAAGTATCTTAACAAGTTCTGTGTAACCCAAACTCAGGAAAACGAAAGCTGTGTTTCAGTTGGACCTGCTTCTGAAGCTTTTAAATTTTGTTATTGTTAACATGCTTCTATGCCGTGTTTTGTTTTGTTTTGGGTTGAGGTTTCAGGCTTGGGCTTATCTCCACTAAAGTGTCTTTTACTTTGTAACATTTATTACAATATGAGATTGCTTTTTTTGCAGGGGGGGTGTTGTCGTCTGATCTAGTACCTATCAAGTTCTAAGGGTTATGACTCCGCTGAGAACTCAAGTCTCTGAACCATATCACTGTTCTTTCTCAGATCTCTGAGGCGGAATTTTTGTTCCTACTTGGAGGGCATACATTTCTTTCTTTCTTTCTTTCTTTCTTTCTTTCTTTCTTTCTTTCTTTCTTTCTTTTTTTCGTTTGAGCGCTTGTACTCTCCTCCATGAAACTAGAAGAAGGAATTTAGCCCCCACCCCTGTAGAACAAGCAATGTTATCAGGCGAAAAGATGAAATGGAATAAAAAAGTAGATTTCAATATGTTGTTTATCTGAATTTATATAAGGTCTGCCACTTGATTAAAGAAATCATAGTGGGTTAGTCATATCTGCCCTGGTAGCTCAGTTGGTGGAGCAGAAGACTCTCGATCTCAGGGCCGTGGGTTTCAGTTCCACATTGGGCAGGGGGTTGGGCTAGATGACCCTTGTGGTCCCTTCCAACACTTCTGTGAGGTTTATGGTGCACTTCTGTGCACATCTACACTGAAGTTAAGTCCTATTGAGTTCAGTGGGTTTTGTTCCCAGGGAAGCAGGTACAGGACTGCAGCACCAACCAGTTAAGGATGCAATCCTATTACACTCATGTGGGAGTAAGTCTCATTGAACTCAATAGGACTTTCATCTGAGTAGACATATATAGGCTTGCCCTGTAAGACTGCAACCCTACACACATGTGGTGTAGTGGTTAAGAGCAGTGGACTCGTAATCTGGGGAACCGGGTTCGCTTCCCCGCTCCTCCACATGCAGCTGCTGGGTGACCTTGGGCTAGTCACACTTCTTTGGAGTCTCTCAGCCTCACTCACCTCACAGAGTGTTTGTTGTGGAGGAGGAAGGGAAAGGAGGTTGTTAACCGCTTTGAAATTCCTTAGGGTAGTGATAAAGCGGGATACCAAATCCGAACTCTTCTTCTTCTTCTTCTTCTTCTTATTATTATTATTATTATTATTATTATTATTATGAAGAATGAACCCCGTGGAATACAGTGGGACTTCCTCAGTTTAGTTTATTCAGTTTGATTTATACATTGCTTCACACAACCAAAAAGAAGCTCCAAAGCGATTTGCAAAAACAAGAACATACAAAACAGAAGCATCCATAACCACTTAACCTAACATGAGAATGAGCACTATAAAACAAACAAACAAACAAACAAACAAAATGCCAGACCGTTAGTGCTGTCCAAAGCCTGAGAGAATAGAAACATTCAGCCTGGTGCTGAAAAGCTGACAAAGTCTACTTAGAGGTTTTTAAGATTAAGCTGCATAAAAATTCAGTTCAAATAAAGTTATTTATTTAAGTCGGCACCAGGAGGGGTTCTGTGAGGAAACCAAGAATACAGGAAGGCATTGGAGCATAGGCAAGCCTTGTTGCTTGAACAAGGCTTAAGTGGAACAAGATGCCTACCTATACCCTTTCCAGGGGAATCCTGTAGTCAGCAGGAGTGGCAGGATCCCCAAGGCATGGATGAGGAATGGCAGGATCCCCAGGGCTGAGAAGCTGCCTCCTGGAGAGGTTCACAACAAGGGGGAGCTGCGCACAAATCCAGCCATTGCTGACACAAAGCTATAGAGGTGGTAATTTGTTCAGGGCAGGGAGTGGATCCTTGCATGTGGTCTGCTGCTTCTCTTAAGGATCTGTTGTGGGCAACAGATTAAAATATATATTTTAAAAAATGTAAAAATGAGCTAAAATAAATCCACTGGGGTAAATCGCACCACCACATCTCACCCACGTAAAATAGGTTGGGGTGGCCTCCTTACGGCTGTGGGCTTCACAGCATTTTTCTCACCAACGTCACTAAAAATTCCTGCTCGTGTTTTCTGTTTGGACAAGACATTCCAAAGATGAAGGATTCAACATTCTTAGCACATGCAAGATGAAAACAACAAAACAGCTTCGGGTGTGAATGAGCACTAGCAGCCAAGGCATCTTCCATTTTCTGATGACTTAAAAAAAAAAGGCAGTTTCTTTGAAGATGGAACCTACCTGTGAGGACCGAGAGGCAGTGACCGGCCCAAGGTCACCCAGAGACCTTCATGGCCAAGTGGGGATTTGAACCCTGGCCTCCCAGGTCCTAGTCCAGCACCCTAACCAGTGTGCTACACTACCTTCTGCCAGATCAATTGGTGTGACAGCTGCAGCCATTCCTGGATCAAAATACCTTAGCTATAGTAGTCTAGGCATTAGTAACCCCCCAAGATTGGATTACGGCAGGACTCCCCTTAAGGTTGGTCCAGGAAGCTACAGGTAGTGCAGAATGCTACAGCCTGGCTGTTGGAGGAGGTGCCCTATCAACAGCACATAAATCCTGTGCTGAAATAGTTGCACTGGGTGCCAGTATGCTACAATACTTAATTCTAAAGTTTTGCTATTTGCATGTCAAGCCCTGAACGACTTGGGACCTTTGGGAACGCCTGCTTGTTACAGTCCTGCTTGGTCACTTTGAAGCTCAAAGGAGATACCCCTAAGTAGTGCCATATGCTTCCAGGGTTGGTCTTACGTCCGCTAAGACCACAGCCTTTAGTGTGGCAGGACCTACCCTTTGCAGGCTTCCTCCGGTGAACATCAGGCCAGCACCTACAGTATTGGCATTTAAGAGGCAGCTGAAATCTCACCTGTTTGTCCAGGCCTTCCTTGACGGGGTCACACAGCTACATTCCTGTATTAATTCAATCTATCCATTTGTGATGTATTTTTTTTTATGGATGCAGTTTTGTTATTACTTTTTTCTGTGCCCTATGTTTTTCTTCATTTGGTATAGAGGCTTGGACAAACTGGTTAATCTTAGCTGTGGTTAGCTGAAGCAAGCCAGCTCCAGACCATAGTTTAGGCTGGCTTTTTTTCAGCCAACCGTAGAAAACAGTAACTATAGGTTAGAGTTTGATAGACACACTAAGCAAAAGCAAAAGCTTCTGAAGTCTTCCTTGTTGGGTGTAAGGAGGAGTGTGCAAGCATGAGGGTTCCTGAGGCTCATTTCTGCAACACTAAATTATGGTTAGCATTACGTCTGAGCTGCAACTTCCGTTGTCGTTTCACCTTAGTAATCATTGTGAAGTCAAGCATACATTGGTGGGGATTAGTTTTGTACTAACTTTGACAAAAAGGCGTATGAACCTGTGTCCTAACTTATGACACAAAGTGATGTGGAAATTGGGAGGATGCTTTGCAAGGTAAGATTAGAGCAGAGCACTTTTAATAGGAAGCTCAGAAGATTTCAGTTCAACAGCATCAGTTGCTAGCAATTCATCTTATTGTCCACTAGGTGGAGCGATAAGCCAGTTGTTCTTGTGCTGCCTAAGCTGCACAGTTTGAGCACTGTTTGAAAAGAAAGGAGAGAGACATTTGTTTGCATTTTCCAAGTGGTTTTATGCATCTGTGCTGCCATGTTCGGGTCTTGCACTCTTATTCATCATGTGTTTAAAAGCATGTGCCGGATGCTGCTTGCAGGGGAGGGGTGAAAATCCTGTGAAAGGTCAGGGAATCTGTGTGCTCTCTTTTGCAAATGGAGAACTCGCTCCTTTGGAACAGGGAAATAGGTTGCAATTTGGAGGCAACAGCCACGAGCCCAACCCAAGAGCCCCATCTCTGGTATCTGTTCCTTTTTTTGTGAATGGGAGGTGTGCAGCAAGCAAAGATAGCAGCCGCCTTATGGAACTATGTGCAAACGGTCACGAGTCATCTGGTGTAAATCTGTCCATTTATTCCCTTGTTTTCCAAGTTCACCCTCCACCGCATTCCCAGAAGCCGGGAGGTCCGTCAGTTGTGGAGCTCCTCTGTGCTGACGACTCTGCGTTCCATGTTTTCCTCTCTCCCTTTGACCTTCAGACTCAAGCCGGATTTGGTATGTAAAACAACTGTTGCAGACAAATAGTGAAGAAATGCCTTGTCTGTTCCAAAAGGAAATAACTATCTGGAGATAACAAACCTCTAAATATGCATACAAATTTAGGACTGGTTCCTGCAGGGTTTACTTCCCTCGATTGAGTCCTCCAACCTTTAAGCAGCTCTCTTGTGCAATGCAGCATTTTCAGGCAAGTTTCAGTGTGGCAGTGGGTACTCATAAAACAGGGTATTATCGGTCTGTCTAGCTGATTTATATCAAAGGTGGCAGAAGTTAGATCAGGATCTAGTGGAAGATATTGCAGTGATTTGCGGCCAGATAACAAGGATTTCCGGTTCCAAATTGTTTAACAACAGCAACAACAAAGTGACTTTTTATTAGGCTGCTGCAATAAGAAGGCTAACCAGGAGTGAAGTTTTTGAAAGGACTGTGAACTCACCTCAGTTTTTCTACTAAAAACAAATTCCTTCGGCCCATGTGCTCAGAGGCACCCCGTTCTTTCATTCTAAATAGGTGTCCTTTGTGCCTTGCTTGGTAGGATCACGGGGTTCTAGTGAACAACAAAGTAGACTCAACATTCCTGTTTATACAGTATGAAAACTCTTATTGTCTTCTATTCATCTGTAATAAAGAGAAAGAAGTGTGTCTGATGGTACCTTGAGACTAAAAGTGAAATCCAACAATGCCCACCTGCCAGCAGAGCAGGCACCCTATTTAGAATGGATTATCTCTCTTCAAGGTACCCCACAAATCCGCTCTGGGCAGCTGGGGGATCAGGCAGTGCAGATTTGGAAGGCACAGGACCTGTAGGGGAAAGAAGATGAAGGGAAACTCCTCTCACACAAGCAGAAGTCTGCTTCCTTGGTGTTGGGATTGTTGCCCTAAATCTTTAGAAGCTTTTTTTTTTTTTTTGTAACATGACAAAGCTTCCTTATAGGTAAAGGTAAAGGGACCCCTGACCATTAGGTCCGGTCGTAGCCAACTCTGGGGTTGCGACGCTCATCTCGCTTTATTGGCCGAGGGAGCCAGCGTACATCTTCCGGGTCGTGTGGCCAGCATGACTAAGCCACTTCTGGCAAACCAGAGCAGCACACGGAAATGCCGTTTACCTTCCCGCCGGAGCGGTACCTATTTATCTACTTGCGCTTTGACGTTCTTTCGAACTGCTAGGTTGGCAGGAGCAAGGACCGAGCAACAGGAGCTCACCCCATCACGGGGATTCGAACCGCCAACCTTCTGATCAGCAAGTCCTAGGCTCTGTGGTTTAACCCACATCGCCACCTGCGTCCCAAGCTTCCTTATAGACAGTGCTAAATTGGACCTCAGATGAGGTTCGATAGTCTGCTAGGAGAAGCTTGTGCCATGTTGTAATAACAAGGTTTTAAAAAGTTAGTTTCAAGGTTACTTTTCTTTCTGTCTTAAGTTTTCTTTCTAACTTTTCTTTCTATCTAGCACCACCCCCACCCCCAGAAGAGCAATGTGGGAACAGAGTTGGGCTTGTTGACTGTCCATTGCAAAGTCAGAGGGGGTGGAACACTCTCCTGACTTCAAAGTGATTCTCCCGTAAAGCTAGTTGCTGACCAGAGTATGAAAGAAAACAAAGGAGAGACCTTTGTGAGCCCATCCCTGTTCCCCGTTTCTTCCCCATACATTGATTTTTGCTTTTCATTAAAGAGGAAGCAAAATGCCTTAATTCAAATGAAACAGACCGTCTTTATGCGACGAGTACATTAGGACATTGCCTTGTTACAGCGATGGCTCCGTTTAATTAGCATCAATTGTATTGAGTTTCCATCATAAGGGAAATTGTCTGGAAAATCAAACAGACCATTACATTGCTGGAGGAGATGATGTGGAAAAAGTCAAAGGAGAAAGGGTATCGGCGGGTAACTTAGCGATAGTTTAACTTCTGTATAGCTTTTTCACTTGAAATAGCAGTGCCAAAAAATACAGAGCTGGTGCCAGAGGGCCTCATGGACTTTGCACTGAAATCTCCTCTGTTTGTGTTTTTAAAAAAGGGACTCTCGTTGCAAGAAAATGGAGTTTTGCCAGTGCATAGTGAAACTGAATACACTCTGTGCTCAGCCGCAGCAGCATCACTCAGGTGCTTTGATTTAGAGCGACTTGTAGACTGGCTTGTGAAGTGGTGTGCATTGTGGCTAAGGGTGTGGCCACAAGTCCCCGGTTCAAATCTCTCCTCATCCGTGATTTTCTATAGGTGGCTGTAAGCAATCGGTTCTTTCTCTCCTCCCACTCCTGTCTTAATGCCTGTGGTATAGGGCTTGCAAGACTGTTTTGGTTAGGATTGCTGAAATAATGTATATGAGATGCTTTTGAGCGCTCATCTGAACACATGCAGCTGCCTTATGCAGAGTCAAATCATCTTGTTTAGTGGTGGGGGACGCGGGTGGCGCTGTGGGTTAAACCACAGAGCCTAGGATCAGAAGGTCGGCGGTTCGAATCCCCGCGATGGGGTGAGCTCCCATCGCTCAGTCCCTGCTCCTGTCAACCTAGCAGTTTGAAAGCACGTCAAAGTGCAAGTAGATAAATAGGTACCGCTCCGGTGGGAAGGTAAATGGCATTTCCGTGTGCTGCTCTGGTTCGCCAGAAGCAGCTTAGTCATGCTGGCCACATGACCCGGAAGCTGTACGCCGGCTCCCTCGGCCAGTAAAGTGAGATGAGCGCTGCAACCCCAGAGTCGGCCACGACTGGAGCTAATGGTCAGGGGTCCCTTTACCTTTATCTTTAACCTGCAGTTGTAGTTGCTGAACTACAACCCCCATCATCCCTGACCATTGGTCCTACTGAGTGATGGGAACTGGTGTTCAACAACACTCCGAGGGTCATAGGTTCACTACCACCACTGTAGTTCAGCTAGAAGGGGCACCAATAGAAAAGCACCAAAGGATGCATCGGCCACCCAAAACAAATACATATTCAAAGCGCTTCTGAAGGTCTGGAGTATGGTTGCTTTCCAGAGGTCAGCTGGCAACAAATTTCAGAGTTGTGGGGCTACCACAGAGAAGGCCCTGTGACGTATTTCACCGACTGCAGTGGTAGGCAAACCAAGAGGACCTCCATTCTTAGTCATTACGTGTGGGCAGGTGGATACAGGTGTAAGTTGTCCTTCAGATAACTCTGACTCTGATCACCCAAGGCTTTGAAGGTGAAAACCAGCTAATGTAAATAGCTGGAGAAAAATTAATCCATTCATCAGGGAGCCTGCGCCAACGGCTTTCTGTCGTAAACCCGACGTTAGAGATGTTAACTGCCACCTCTTTTAAAGTGTCTTGGGAAAGAGGATCTGATAACAATTGAAAGGGAGAGCTGTGTATTGTTTGATAAGGTTCTCCCTGAACACTTTGAGGTATTGCATCTTTTTTTAAGAGCAACAGTGCACAACCCCTTGATCGTACAGCTTGGCTTAATATATTATTACACGGACATTTATCAGCCAGAGTATCTAGCTTTGAGCTTGAAAGCCGCCTCAACAACAACATATATTTAACTCTGCTTGGGTGAGACTGCGTTTACTGAGCCGCAGAGCACCACATCCTTGGCAGACTACCAGGTCCCAAAGGTTAAAAAAGTCTTCAGAGGGGGTGGAACAAAAAGTTGGCGTTCCGAGTTGACAGCATCTGTCAAAGGCATCTGCCATGGAGCTCAACTTCAAAAGTGTTAAAAATAGGAAACACCAAGAAAAGCACCAAATGAGGCCCAAATGACACGGTTGCCGTGCTGGAATCTGTGGACACACTAGGCGTTAATCAGTGTAGGCAGGTTGTTGTTGCTGTCGTTCTTCTGTTTCTACTGTACTTCTAATGGGGAAGCAGTGGGATTTCGGAATGCTTTCAAAAAGTCACTTGCGCCTAGCAAGACCTGATTGTGCAGATTCTTGTGCCCTCCCAAACTCCTCTCGACGGCAAGAAGAAATCCGAGGAGCTCAAGGAATGCGAGATTAAGCAAATACAGCAAGCGCTGCCCTCAACATTACTTTGTGGGAATAAGTGGCAGTCAAGCAGCCTTGCCCGCAAGTAGGGCTTTGGTGGTAACAAGCGGCGAGAGCAATTGGCTGTGGCACAAGGTTGTAGACACAGCACAGCACAGCAGGCTCTGGAAGACAGCATTCCGAGTAGATCACACGCAGAGGTTTGTTTATTACATTTAAAGCTTGTTTTTTCCTCCAAGGAGGTCAAAGTAGCATATGTGCCTCTTGCGTTTTTCCCTTCACAACAACCTTGTGAGGTAGGTTAGGCACAGAGATAGTAACTGGCCCAAGGTTATCCAGCGAGTTTCAGGGTTGAGTGGGGATCAGTCTGACATCCTCGGCGCTCTACCATTCTGTCGTTTGCCTGTGCGTAGCAGTTTGTTGTTGTGCCAGCAAAGCAACTGGCCAAATAAGTCTACCCAAGTTGCTAGTCCACAGGAAGATTCTTACCAACCTGCGCTCTCCCAGTATAACCGCATTTAGTCATGAGGGTGTAAAAGACAGAGGACGTGCTACCTCAGTGCTTCGTTCATTTCCTTTTTAATGGGCCCCTCCATCCGATCACTGCTTTTGTGTATTCTCCCAGTGACAAACTTCCAATCCCTTTTCAGAGCAAGGTATTTTCCTCAGGTGTTACCCTCCCCTCTCTTTTAAAGGGTTAACCTAGGCGTCGGGTGGCATATTGGGAAAGTGAATTTATCTCCACTCAGCACACATTCAATACAACATTCGGGGTGGACAAGGAGGGGGTGGAGTTGGGCCAGAGTGAAGGGGCGGGGCCTGGGGAGGAGGTGTGGCTTAGGCCGAGTCCCAAGGGGTCAGGTAAAAATGTCTGGAGCATCATATTGTGCTCCTGTGTCTGAAGTCCTCCATCTCCATCCCTTCGCCCTAGAAAGGTTATGTGCTTAAAAGTTTTGTTCTGCAGCAATCCCATGGTAACCTCTCGTGTTTATGTTAAATTTATAAGCAAAGCCTCCTGTTGTTCCCTTCCCTTCTCTCCAGTACTTCCCAA